GAGGTGTTTGAGGCAAGGCTGCATTCAGTACTACAGGCCAGATGTGAGGGGGATGGAGGGATACATTTTGCCACGCCATGTGTACAAGGGGCACTGTGTGTAATGGCTGCAATTATGATTTGTTTATTTAACCATTCCATGACCAGGGTTTTTTTTTTTTTTGGAAGCTTAAATGCCTAGATCAGGTCTAGCAGCATTGATGTGCATCAGTTAGTTTCATTAAACCCACGTGGATAAAAAAATATATATCTTGCACTATACTTCGTTTCTTTCTGGCTTGCTGTCCCCTTTGTGGGTGCAGGCTGTCATTTCTGCAAACCCAACCATTTCAATCTGTGCCTGTGATTTCCTGCAATAGGATGGCTATGATGCTTTGGGCCCCTGGAGCCCCAGCACAGCCACCTTTTTACATGCGGGCTTCCAGCTGGGACTTGTGCAAATGCTTCATAGCAGGCAGATCCCAAGCCCTATATACGAAGTTACTCTCCTGCCCTGCCCCCAGGCTTTGATTAAAAATGACTCTTGTGCCCTGCAAATTAAGCAACACCCCTGACCCTCCTCCCAGGCTTTGATTAAAAGTAGCTTTGGTGCTTTTTCAGAAACATAACCATGATCTTCCGGTGATGTAATCGGTGTGTGCTCACCTATGAGAAGTTTAGGGCAGTGCCTTTAAGAAGGGCTGAGCAGTGCGTTGTTGTAAACGTAAAAACAAGTGTTTTATGCCAAAGGAAGGCCGACAGGCCTATAAGCAAAACTGAAAACGTTATTCTGGGTTTAATACTACTTTAAAAGCGGAGTTCCACCTGGGAAAAGAAAATAAGTCAGCAGCTACAAAAACATTAGCTGCTGACATTTAAAATACAGACACTTACCTGTCCCTCAGTCCAGCGGTGTCCTCACAATCACTGGTTTCACCGGCCATCTTCTCTCCCTGGCGCCGGCATTTTTAGTGTGGGCACCCGGCTGTGACAGCTTGCGGCTTCACAGCCAGGTGCCCACTCCGCATGCGCGAGAAAAGCCGTGCTTTGTGAATGGTCCTTTAGTCTTCTGGGACCTGTCACGTGTCCCAGAAGACTACGGGGAGGGAGGGGGGGGGACGACAACGTCCGCTTCTGATCGCCTAGCCTGGGCCAGTGGTCGGCAAGCCGCCGCTCGCGAGCCACATGCGGCTCTTTACACACACTCTAATGCGGCTCTTCTGTGTGCCGGGGGCGCCCGCTCCCCTCCCTCCTCTCGGGCGGCCGCCCTGCCCCAAAAGTCAGGACTCTGCAGCTAGCCCAGCAATGGGCAAACTACGGGGCCCCGCGGGGCCGTATACGGCCCGGCGGACCTTTTAATCCGGCCCGCGGAGCGTGGCAAACATTGGCTGTCAGGATGTAGGCGGGGGCAGCGTGACGAACTCCTCTCCTCTCACAGTCCGCCCTGAAGACCGGAACGGCGCGGGACCCACGGCGAGAGGAACGCGCGGAGCAAAGGTAAGTGAATTGACACTATATAGGGGGGGGATGGATTACTATATGGGGGATGGATTACTATAGGGGGGATGAATTACTATATAGGGGGGGATGAATTACTATGGGGGATGTATTTCTGGTTTTTAAAAATGTGGCTCTCAAAATTTCAATCGTGGTTTTGGCGAGATTGGCTCAGTTGAAAAAAAAGGTTTCCCACCACTGGCCTAGGCGATCGTAGAGGAAGTGGGAGCTGGTACCTGTCAAATTCGAGTACTCCCCCCATGCTCCCCCAAAAGTGCCAATCCTTAATGGGGAGCGGGGGACAAAGGCTTAAAGCGAACCCCCCCCTTTTGGGTGGAGCTTCACTTTAACTTGACAATACCTGATAATTTTTTTTTTGAGTGACAAGAGATCAGAGAACTAGGAATACACACATTTAATCAGACATTTCCTAGTTCCTCCTCCTGCAGGATTCAATAACCTTTTTGTAGGGAATGGGGCATTTTTTAAAAATTTGGACTTATAAATCATGTTTTGGGTCACAAGAGGGGTTAATAACTTTATTGCTATTTCCAGCAACCCTTTTTTACTGTTTTACACTCTTGTTAGATTGATCTGTATTTTTTTTTTTTTTTTTTTTTCCAATAAGGGGCTTTGCTCCACTGGACAAACCAAACACAGTTTACAATGTCCCGAAACCGGCATGAGCCCCGTGGCACCTCCATTGTTCCCTCCGCAGCACTGACTACTTCCAGTCTCGTGACAACTCTGAGATAATAATCGAGAATGTGGACGGCTTTCAGGTTCGGCATTGAAAATTACATGTTTCGCAACAAAAGACCGTGGTGAGTGTTTTTGATACACAGAAAAAAGTTTTTGTTGTTGTCAAGGGACAAATATACATCTTTATGTAATACTGTCCAAATAATGCATTATAATCCAGTCTGTGCTTTGCAAAAGCATTGACACTCTAATGGCTGTCCATAAATTGGCCGAAATCGTGGAAGCTGAGTAAAGAGTATATTGCTTCTCTTTTTTCACATGATGTTGATGTTATCTGTACTTGTTTTCCCTGTAAACCCCCAATCCCACCTCCTTTCACCTCCCTAATTATTTGCTTCTTAAAATTGGTCAGTGGTAGAAAGGCAGACAGACACTGAAATCACTGGAAATCAGAACAGCCAGTGGATTTTAGCTCTTTTAACCCCCTTCAACTACAAGTTCAACTACAGGCTTTGCTTGTTTTTTTTTTTTTTTTTTTTTTTTTTTTTATTTTTTTCCACTGGAGGTTTAAAAAAGCAAAAAAAGAGCTCTAGCTGCAGTATTCAACGTTTTAATCTGGAGATGTCCCACCAAACTACCGCCCTTTTTTTTGACACAGGATGCCCTTAACCCCCTTAGTGACTAAGAATAAAAACCAATCTATATGCCTAGACACAATTTTTGCAACTTTGACATGCATTAATAAAAAGCCATACATATCCTTACAACTACTTTGTGTATCCAGGTGATTATATCTTGTGTTTTTCAGGACAAATTTGGCTTTCTTTTGGTGGTAATGGTAACAGGATAATTGCATGGTTTTTTTCCTTTTTTTTTTTTTTTTTTTTTTTTTTTTTTTTTTTTTTTTCTTCCCTCAAGGCAAAAAAAAAAAACCCTAAAAAAAAAAAAAAAAAACTAAACAAAAAAAAAACTTTTTACTGCAGCTGTATATTTATTGCTACTACTATAACCTATCACCACAGAACAATTGCAGTGATATCACATGTGTAATATGTGATACGTTTTTTTTTTTTTAACCTACCTAAAGCATACTGACGCTATTTTTTTTTTTTTTCCTCCTCCCAAATCCTGCTCAAAAATTTTAGATCATGACCTTTGAATCTGACCTTGACCTTTTGCTTGACCCTATCATTACTGACCTTGATCTAGGGTTTTTTTTTTTTTACATATTTTTGTTTACATTCTCCCTGCAAAGAAACATTGTTTCTCTCCCCCATTCAGAGAGAGAAAATGCAGGGTCAGGCTGTAGAGTGACTGATAATTTGTGATAGCCAATTGGAGGCCATCGCAATGATCAGGTGACCTGGAACCAGGAGTCCCAGGTCTCGATTGTTAGTATGGGACCCGGGCATCCTGGTGACAACCCTGTACCTGTGCTGGGAGCGCCCCACAGGAAACAAAGCCCATACAAAGAAAGAAAGCATTGCATGAATGAGTTGTTTCCACCATGGCCACAGAACACAATGATTACTGCCAGCAGCTATATCCACCGGCAGTAATCAAATGTAAAAAATCTGACAGGCTGGTTACATCCACGTTTATCAATGGATTGACTTGGGTACAATCAGCATGCCCATGGATGGATCAGATCTCATCCGGTCCCTGCTGAACCTGCTGCATTTCGATCCAGGTATGGCTGGTTTTTAGCCTTTTAGTTTAAATAATGGCCATTGCCCAGGAAAGACTGTGGCAGGCCATATTGGTGCACCTTACAGCATTCTTGCAATTTTAAATCATGATTTTACTAAAATAGAACCATCCCTTTAAAAGTACAGGCTCTGAAACTGTGTCTTTGTCCTGCTTTCTCTACCAAGTGGTTTGTTGACTTTGACAATCATGGAGGGTGGGAGTTTAGACTTCATTGGTTTATTGTATGTTCCAGATCATTGACTCACTAGTGAGAAGGATCGGGATGGCAGCCCCAGAACCTGCACCTTTAAAAATGAGTCAGCAATGGCAGCTTTTATTGTCCTTCTCATATGTTTGCTTTAAGATTCAGTCCAGCGATTTTTCTTTTTATTGAATGTTTACAAAAAGTCCATTGTGTATTCAGAGTCCATATGTTATGTCTTTAACCACAAAGCAGTTTCCATCTGTTTGTATCTCTGGCTGCAGTATGGGATTATGGGTAATTAAACAGAGTTTTTTCTCTTTGAATTTTTTTTACTATATTTTTGGTTTAACCTGTCTGTCTGGGCAAAATAAAAAAAAAAAAAAAAAACCCAAAACATACTTTTCAATATATGCATGCTTCTCCCATCTTTTTTTTTTTTCCTTAAAAATGCAGCAGCTACAGAAAAATTGTCTGCCGTTGCCAGAATTCCCGTGAGCGTCTGACTTCCTATAATGAGCTGACAACACTGTCTCTGCTGGATTGAAATCCCAAGCAGTGTTGTCAGCTCTGCCCAGTTCTCCCCTGCTGTACTACAGAACACCTTCCCCTCTCCAAGGGAAATGTCTCTTCTGTAGGGCTGACAACACAATTTGGATTTTCAGTGCAGCTGCAAAGAAGTTGTCGGCTCACTACAGGAAGTTAGGTGCTCGCTGGATTTCTGCCAGACCAGCAGGTAATTTTTTCTGTACCTGGATAAATGTGCGTGCCTTGCAGGGATGAAGAGTGTTTTTTGTTTTTTGCCAAGACATACATGGTTTATAGCTGTATATACTGCATATCTAACCATCTTCGTTCCGTTCTTTCAGCATCTATTGGGCAGCAAAGACCCCTTCTCGGTGCAGTTATGGGTTTCTTATAACCGCAAGCCAATGAGATCAGCACAGTTTGTTACCCGCCATCCAATTGTGGTGAGTGTTGTCATGTGATTGCTGATTTCAGCCACAATGTTCAGTGCAGGTGGACAGTTTTTTTCTCTTAATGGTTGAATTGGGAATTTTCATGGCAGGAATATTACATTACGGATGCCTCGGAGGATCAGGTGTTTGTGTGCGTCAAGCACAGCAACAATGTGACAAACCTGTACATATCAGAGGTGGAGGGCCTGCGCTTTTCTCTTTCACTGGAGAATGTGATCTACATCAATCCTGGAGCAGGGAAGGAGACTCTGGCCAGGTAATGAAGATGTTCTTTTATAACTTTAGATACAAACTTCTCAACCTTTAATTATAGTTCTGCCATTGTAGTAAGGAGGGAGAAGCTTTGCCACAACTGATTTTTGTCCCCAGTAGAGTTCCCCTTTACCCCAGCTTCTGTGTTGAACAGAATAGCTCTTCCGAATGGTAAAGGAAAATGATTATAATGCCTAATAATTTAATGGCATTGCTTAGTTTTTATATGCTGGTGTTAGGTTCTTTATACAGTATAGCAGGTTTGCTTGCTAGAATGAATTTGCAGAAAGACGTTTATTGCAACAAATTTATGTTCTCCAGATGCTTAGTACATCTTGTGGAACATATAGACAAGTAGCCTTCTTGCCCTACAATGAGGTGTTTTGAGAGTCTTGAGATTGGTGAAACTGATCATTTATGTTGTGTCAGAACACTTTTTTTAATGTCTTTTAATTTAAAGTGTAACTTAACTCAGAAAATAAAGTTCTACTGTTTCGCTATGGCTCTTCAACCAATAAGCAAATTTATAAGTTTTGTAGTTGGGAGGAAAGGGGTGAATACTGTTCTGTTCTCGTTTTTTTTTTTTTTTTTTTTCTTCTCTTCTTTCCCCCCCCCACTTACACTTCCTCAATCCTTGCCTAGGCGAAGATAATAGCCCCGTCCCTCCTGCAGCCCCCAGGACACACCACAAGTCCCAGGAGGCTGCAGGAACATCCACAGAATCGCGCACAAGCTTGCATATGCACAGTGGAGAGCCAGCTGTCATTTATTAGGAAGCCACAGTCGGCTCCCTATCTAGGATGATGGTGCGGAGGACCTGCAGCAGTAACAAGAACTTGCTGGGGAAGACAGAGCTGGACTCTACTCACTGGGTAAGTGCTTCATTTTTAAAAATGAGGTACAGGTGAAACTCGAAAAATTTGAATATTGTGCAAAAGTTCATTTATTTCAGTAATGCAACTTAAAAGGTAAACTATTATATGAGATAGACTCCTTACATGCAAAGCAAGATAGTTCAAGCCGTGATTTGTCATTGTGATGATTATGGCTTACAGCTCATGAAAAACCCCAAATCCACAATCTCAGAAAATGAGAATATTGTGAAAAGGTGCAATATTCTCGGCTCAAAGTGTCCCACTCTAATCAGCTAATTAAGCCCTAACACCTGCAAAGGGTTCCTGAGCCATTAAATGGTCTCTCAGTCTGGTTCAGTAGGAATCACAATCATGGGAAAGACTGCTGACCTGACAATTGTGCAGAAAACCATCATTGACACCCTCTATAAGGAGGGAAAGCCTCAAAAGGTAATTGCAAAAGAAGTTGGATGTTCCCAAAGTGCTGTATCAAAGTAAATTAATAGAAAGTTACGTGGAAGGGAAAAGTGTGGAAGAAAAAGGTGCACAAGCAGCAGGGATGACCGCAGCCTGGAGAGGATTGTCAGCAAAAGGCCATTCAAAAGTGCTGGGGACTTTCACAAGGAGTGGACTGAGGCTGGAGTTAGTGCATCAAGAGCCACCACACAGACGGATCCTGGACATGGGCTTCAAATGTCGTATTCCTCTTGTCAAGGTGCTCCTGAACAACAAACAACGTCAGAAGCTTCTTACCTGGGCTAAAGAAAAACAGACCTGGTCTGTTGCTCAGTGGTCCAAAGTCCTCTTTTCTGATGAGAGCAACTTTTGCATCTCATTTGGAAACCAAGGACCCAGAGTATGGAGGAAGAATGGAGAGGCACAAACTGCAAGATGCTTGAAGTCCAGTGTGTAGTTTCCACAGTCTGTGTTGATTTGAGGAGCCATGTCATCTGCTGGTGTTGGTCCATTGTGCTTCATTAAGTCCAGGGTCAACGCAGCCGTCTACCAGGAGATTTTGGAGCACTTCATGCTTCCTTCCGCAGATGAGCTTTATGGGGATGCTGACTTCATTTTCCAGCAGGACTTGGCACCTGCCCACACTGCCAAAAGCACCAAAACCTGGTTCAATGACCGTGGGATTACTGTTTGATTGGCCAGCAAACTCGCCTGACCTGAGCCCCATAGAGAATATATGGGGCATTGCCAAGAGAAAGATGAGACATGAGACCGAACAATGCAGAAGAGCTGAAGGCCGCTATTGAAGCATCCTGGTCTTCCATAACACGTCAGCAGTGCCACAGGCTGATAGCTTCCATGCCACGCCGCATTGAGGCAGTAATTGCTGCAAAAGGGGCCCAAACCAAGTACTGAGTACATATGCATGCTTATACTTTTCAGAGGTCCGATATTGTTCTATGTACAATTCCTTGTTTTATTGATTGCATGTAATATTCTCATTTTCTGAGATTGTGGATTTGGGGTTTTCATGAGCTGTAAGCCATAATCATCACAATGATGACAAATCACGGCTTGAACTATCTTGCTTTGCATGTAATGAGCGTATCTCATATATTAGTTTCCACCTTTTAAATTGCATTACTGAAATAAATGAACTTTTGCACGATATTCTAATTTTTCGAGTTTCACCTGTGTTTTATAGTTCTTTAAAAAAAAAAAAAAAAAAAAAAACTAAAAGTTCCTAATTTAAAGAAGAGATTCAGCCAGGTCTCCAAAAATTAAAAGTAAACAGTTACAAAACTGTAGCTGCTGACATTTAATTAAAAAAAATAAAACTAATCTGGCCAAGGATCCATTTCTGTCCTCACGCTGGTTCTTTGCTTTAACCACTTGTCCTCCGGAAGATTTGCCCTTCTTCATGACCAGGCCATTTTTAGCAGTACGGTGCTGTTGCATTAACTGACTATTGCACAGTGATGCAACGCTGTACATAAATAAAATTTTGTAAACAAAAATTCCCCACAAATAGAGCTGTCTTTTGGTGGTATTTGATGACGTGTGTGTGTGTGTGTGTGTGTGTGTGTGTGTGTGTGTGTGTGTGTGTGTGTGTTATAAACAAATGACCCGACCATTTTGAAAAAAAAAAAAAAATGACTTTTTGCTACAGTTCTTTTTTGTAACGGTTTACCTTTAATTTTTGGAAACCTGGCTGAATCTCCTCTTTTAAAGAGGAACTTTTTAGTTTTTTTTGTTTTTTTAAAATCAACCGCTATAAAACATATCCAAAAAAAAAAAAAAAAAAAAAAAAATTAAATACAATTTCTTCATAAAATTAGGTCATAATATATTCTGCTACATATCTTTTGGTTAAAAAAAACAAAAAAAAAAACAACCCAATAAGTATATTAATTGGAACGTGAAAGTTATTTTGTCTACAAATGTTGGTTTATATACTGGAGTTTTTTTATTCATTTTTATACTAGTAATGGAGGAGATCAGCGACTGCGGTGGGAATTCTGGCACTCGGGAACTGACTTTACTGCCACTGCCCTCTCCAATAACACTAATACAGTGATCCGTGCTAATAAAAGCACTGATCACTGTACTGACGCTTAGCAGGAAGTGGTTAACATCTGGGGCGATCAAAAAGTTAACAGCGTGCTGTTTTGTGCTTATCGTGTGCGGTTTTACAAGGGGGCATGCTCCTTTCTATCTCTTTGCAGAGAGATAGAAAGCAGCACATCCCTGCTGACAGGAGAGAGACCTGTAGTGTTTACACACAGAGCTCTCACCTGTCGGCTTCTCTGCCAATCAGTCCCAGCCATGAATCGCTTGCTGGCACCTGAGCTCCAGGAGCCAATGACAGCAGGGGTAGGGCAGCGCATGTGCTCCCTACCTGGAAATGTAAAAATCATTTTATATATATATATATATATATATATATATATATATATATATATATATATATATATATATATAATTTTGCACAGAGCAGCCACCCTGTAGCAGTAAATCTACTGTGGGGCGATCCTTAAATGGTTAATGATGTAGTGCTTGTGCAGATTTCTAAGTAAATGAAAATGGAAACTGCTGTACAGAATAGGATCTTAAAAGCCTCTCGTGGTGTTTTTTTTTTTTTTTTTGTGTTATTGTGATTATATCCTTGGTACACCTGCTATATCTAATGATCTCTGTGTGCATTAACCTCTCTACTTTCAAACCCCTCAATGAGCAGAGTTGTTGCTTTCCTCACCAAGGTCAGGTTGGTTTTGAAGGACCCAGTGGCCTGCCAGAAAGGTGGCCTACATCTCTGGGAGATGCAGCCAGGGGCTGGCAAAGGTCCCTGGCCAAGCTAACAATATTCCTGCCTCCCTTGCTGTTTAGTTGGTTGAATATAGTACCAGCTCTGACAGCTGCCATATAATCTGCTACTGGAAGTCACACACTCATCACCCTATCACCGAAAGCTGGCCCCAGCAGTCCCATCTGGGGAAACACGTTTCTTCTGCTAACAGTCACAACCTTCAGTGCTGTACCGGATGTCTGTGTGCACACAGGAACATAAGCTGATCCGTTAATCACAAGCCTTGTCTAGCTGCTTCTTTCTTGGTATTGACCAGTACAGCATCCTCACGCCGCCACATTTGGCCCAATCTGATTATAGTTGTCACACTGCCTTTTCCTTTGTGGTAGGAACACACATTTGTTGCTCTCAGTGTATTTTCCATCCTGGCTACTCAATATCTAAGTAGATCACTTTTTGGTGTGAGAATCAACAGGATGTCGCGCATGAAACAATGTTTATTTTTTTTTCCCTATAAGCAAATACACTGATGTCAGAGGGCTTTCACCATTTCATGACCTGAATCCTTGCTGCATAAACTTGGAAACATCAGTATGTGGTGCTTGAAGAGTTCACCAGGCACATAAACGTTTCCTAAATTTATTCCTCAATAGTTACAAAGGATCTAAATCCACTGAATGTTTGCTGGATGCCTTTGCAAACCCGTATACCCCTTTATAAAATTAGCAGTGGCTTCCCTGTGCAGAGGGTAGAGTTGTGGGAGGGATCCCGTAGGCCCCACCCACTACAGGCTGCCTTCAGCAAACTACAGGAGGGGGCAGAGACAAGACCAGTCTTCCTGCACAAAGGAGAGAGCAGCAGTGACTGGTCTTGATTACAGGAAGTTCCTGCTTAGAGGCAGTGTCACACTGTATCACTGCACAGCTCTGGAAGATGATGCTTATTCCGGAGTTCAGCTTTAAGTTGGCAATGACTCTTTGCCCTCCTAAATCATGTTAAGTTTTTAGTTTGGCATAAAGTAGGAAAGGGGAGAACCACTGTCGGCTGTCTGTATCCCAGTTACACCAGTACTTGGGACACCAGGCAACCCAGCAGAAACACAAAGTGATGGGAAATCCAGTAGGGTTTATTTCTTGTAATGGGTACACCTGTTCTCATGACAGCTGTCTATAGCAGGAGCTAGTTTCCCTTCACTTCAGAGTGGGATTTCTCCCCAACAAATCATAAAAGATCAGTCAAAGGGCTTCTATCGATTTCTTACTTTATTCATGTGTAAAAAGAAAAGTTTTGGCTGTGCGTACGCTTAAGTCTTTTATGATATACTGTTTTAATAAATATTTAGTTCAGTGTCAGGCTGACAAAAATTGACAATCTAATTTGTTCATTTTTGTTTTCAAAATATTTTTTTAATACTGTACTGGTCTCCTTTAAAAAAAAAAAAAAAAAAAAAAAAACCCAAAAGCTACTACTTTCTGTGTGCACAGCAAACAGACACAGAAATATTTTTGAGCTGAGGCCATGGCTTCTTTGTTTACAAACAAACCTCATGTGATCACTGTCATAACTTACATGGTGATCCCATGGTCAGAAGCCACGCTGATTGGTTCCAACACCAGCATGGGTACCCATGCCTGGAAATGTTGTGATGGATATGGGAAAATGCCTGTTTGGTTTCCTGTTGCATATATACATATTTCTATACATTTTATACATATCTACTTTTATACTTTTTTATATTTCTAAATGTTTTGTATGGAATATATATATGTGTTGTGTGTATATTTTCTGCCTGCTGGGCTTTGTGGTACTTTAAGAAATCCTTGCTCAAGAAATGTCTGCTCCGCACCCCTCTCATCGAGTGAACTTGAGAACAAAGCAATATTTTTCTTTCTATAGATAAGACCTCAGAGGAGATCACGCCTATACTCTGAAGAAGATTGTTTTCATGTAAAGTGACCAATCAAAGACTAATATAATGCTTTATGCTGTTCTCATGTGATGTTTGCATCATATTGCATATATAAGCTCACTTTCTCATTATAATAAACTAGAAGTGTTCGTAGACTGAACTTATGTGTCAGCGTGAGTCTCTTCCAGTGTGCGCACATTCCAAAGCTAGCAAGATTAATTAGGACAGGAGCAGATATTCACCGGACTCTTAGTCCTCATCTAAATCAATGTTAGTCTGCACGTTGATGGCAGGAAGTGTTTGATTCCTTTTTTGTTTTGTGTTCAGGTATCTGGAGAACGAGCCATTTGCTGATGTCCATCGTGTGAAGGGTGTAAAGGGTGTATATATTGCCAACGTGTTAAATACGCCACCCTCCAAAGAGAACGTGGCTACCGTCATCACCTTTGATAAAGGTGGTACCTGGGAATTTCTTTCGGCTCCAGGATATAACAGTTACGTGGACACCACCCATTGCCCGGTGAGTTCCCACCCAGTTCTGCTGTCGTAGAATGTCTTGTTATGCTGGTTTAAACCTTTCACAACCTAAAGTCATCTAAACTGGCATCATAAATGATTATTCCAATATGCAAAACTCACCCTTCATAGAGACAGCTGAGCACTCGGCCACCACCTGCCACAAACCCCCCTGTTTGTCTTTCAGCATGATGAGCAAACTGGGTGATTGACAGCAAGGTGCAGCATGGAGTGGTATGACTCTAGGCATTCTTCTACAGATAAGAAATACTTCATGTATTGTAACCGGCAATATTGTGCTAGCTGCTAGTGAGGGTTCCACCTTTTAGACTTTAAAATAGACCAGGGGTGTCCAAACTTTGGCCCTCCAGCTGTTGATGTACTAGAAGTCCCATCATGCCTCTGCCTCTGGGTGTCTTGCCTGTGGATGTCAGTCTTGCAAGGCCTCATGGGACTTGCAGTCCCTCAACACCTGGAGGGCCATAGTTTAGACACCCCTGAAATAGACCTTAGCGCAGTATCATGTTTTATTCTTCTACAAACATCACATGTTAGATTTTAAATTGTGCAGCGCTCTGGAACCTTAAAACACCCGTTTTTATACACATTAAATCATAAACCTATATAGTGAAAAAAATATATATCTGAATTCTTTGTGCCACAAATATATGCAAAAGTGAAGTGAAAATCACAAGCACTGAAAAGGTTTACAGTATTGTGTATGGAAGCTCTGGAGATTTGCACTGAATATTGGGATTCATTTCACCAAATGTTTTTTGGACTATATGGACTATTTTGAAATGCATAACTAGCACTTTGAGTTTTGGAAGCATGTTGCAGAGATATTTATTCACTACATTTGTTTATTATTTATACGTGTAAAGGGGTGTATGAAGGTTCCCGAGTGCTGCACATTTTTTAAAATCTATTAGATCTGTTTTCACAGATGAGGATTATATTGTGTGTGCTTCTGGTTATGGGAAATGTCTATATTCAAACCCTGCAGCTGTGTACTAGAGAACCTACTTTTTAAACTTTGCATATTAGTTCTGGGGTTTTGTTGTGCAGAGAAGCTGCATGAAGGTTGGTATTCCAATTATGACCCACAAAATCTTAGTTTGTTGTCAACAGGTATACTTCACAATAGAACTCCAGTGATCTATCTGAAAATACTTGTAGTTCAGTTTTATGTATATAAAATCTTCGCAAAATGTTCAGTTTAGGGTTGTGCATCCTAATGGTTTTTTTTTTTTTTCTTTTCATATAGGACATCTAAAAGGAAACCTCCATTTTTATTATAAATAAAAATGTAGTATATACAATTGTTTATACAAGTGGGCTTTTTTTTTTCATGCTATTTAATATGAGCATTTTATTTGAACCTGCTTAAAGCAGAGTTCCACTCACCCTGTCAAAGTCAGCAGCTACAAAAACTGTAGCTTCTGACTTTTAAAAAAAAAACAGCCACTTACCCCTCCCCCTCGGGTCCCGTGGTGTGTCCCCCTGCAGCCCATTTCACCGGCCGTCCTGTATTCCAGAGGCTGGCATCTTTAGTGTGGGCGCCCGGCTGTGATAGCTTGTGACTTCACAGCCGGGTATCCACTGCTCATGCGCGAGTAGCGCTGCGCTTCATGAATGGTCCTGTAGTCTTCTGGGACCTGTCACTTGTCCCTGATCGACTACAGGGAAGGCAATCGGACACCTTCCATTTCTGATCGTCTAGGCAATGGGACCGGAAGTGGGTACCTGTCAAATTCGTGTACCCGCTTCCCCCCCCCCCCCCCCCCCCCCCCCCCCCCAAGGTGCCAATCCTTAATGGGGAGCAGTCCTTAGAGCGGGATTTCCCGTTTTGGGTGGAGCTCCACTTTAAGTCATTTTCGAAAACTCATAAATGCAACTGTTTAAAAAAGTCTGGTTCGCTCACAATTTGTGTTCCAATTAATCTTAAAGGGTGTTCAGTAGGGATGAGGTCTGGGCTCTGTGCGGGACACTAGAGTTCCTCCACAGCAAGCTAATCAAACCATGTCTTTCTGGAGCTGGCTTTGTACACATGGGCACAGTTATGTATGGAAAATGGGCCTTCCCCAAGCTGTTGTCATAGGGTTAGTGCACAGTTGTCTAAAATATCTTTTCTGCATTATTACCTGAACCAGTTAGCCTGGGTTCACTCTGAATGCGACTTTGAAATCATGCGAATTCACTTGAAGTCACACAGTTTCAGTCTCTTGTCAATGCGACTTGTAAGACATCTGTGCGACTTTATGCACGGATGCCAATTCAAGTTGCACCCAAAATTGACAGACGTAGTGCCGGATCTACTGTCAAAATCGGTGCAACTCCGACAGAACGGTTCCATTGCGAACAATAGGGTGCGATTTGTAATGCGATTTTTGAACTGTCTAAAAATTCAAGCTTTTCCAGAAAAAGCCCTTGTTAGAGTTTAATCTGCTTATATTTTGCCTTCCCTGACCCCCAACCCTCAACATACTAATGACATTTTAAAATAAAATATTTCTGTTTTTTTTAAATTACATTTTTTTTCGAACCCAGTGCCATCCTCCGATTTTCTATGCTTCTCTATGCAGTGCAGGCAGATCATGGTTAGTGGGAAGGGCTGGCAGAGTTCTGTACATAGCTTCCTGTAATCATCACAGCACCTTGCCTCAGTACTTCTCTCAGGAATCCTCAGCCCTGGTTTAAGCAGGGAGTTAAAGTGGGTTGATGGGAAAATCTAGCAATTTTTCTTTCCTTCCACCTGTGGTAGAAGGAAGGAAAGAGAAAATAGTTTATTCTATGCCTTGCTTAACAGGTTTGTCCTCTGAGCATTTTGTATTGTATAGATATACTCATTTTTATGGCTTTGTCTCCTGTGTTCTGTATTTGCAGAGCCCAAAGGACTGCCACCTGCACTTGGCACAGCCTCTCAGTCAGTTGACCTCCCAGGGCCGTGTCATGCCCATTGTCTCTAAGGATTCCGCACCAGGGTTAATCGCAGCGACTGGTATGTTTCTGGGTGCGGTTCTGGTCGAAAGCCGAGGAATAAAATGCGAACGTAGTGGGATTGTTTATGAAACCAGCTTATCGTCAGAATCTGACTGATTCACTGTTATGTTTTCAGAGTTGCCTAAATACTAGAATTAAAATCTGATAATGACTTAATGCCAAAGAAGTTGCACAGTAATTCTAAACATTTCTCTCCCTCTAGGTTCTGTTGGGAGGGAAATGATCGGTAAAATTAATCTGTATATTTCCAGCAGTGCTGGCGTTCGATGGAGGGAGGTAATTGTATGTTTTCATCCTGGACATATTCATGCAAAACACCTTATTTATAGAACAAGCAAACTTTTTTTACTTGCTTTGTAAATCTGCTTGATATGCCTTGATACATGAAAGATGCCAAAGTTTTTTTTTTTTTTTTTTTTTTTTTTTTTTTGTTTTTTTTTTCTGCTGCCACCTGATAGCTTTGATGGATAACTCAGGAGACTTGTCAGTTCACATTTCCTGCCTGATGAGCTAAAAAAAAACAGCCCTTCTTAATTGTAGATGACAGGACACCAAGGACTTTATATTCATGACTTGGGGTAGGCTGCCACCTTCAGTTGGAAGGACATCTGACAAAAAAGCAGGCATAACCCTTCCTAGCTCAGCTAACCTTGGATTTTAGCTAGTGTATTTAAGTGATGGATGTGCCTAGAGTCTCTCTGAAAGATTTCCTTTCAGGGGTTTAGGTTCTAATTTCATGGCCTATTCCTTGCACCCATGTTAGTAGAGGAGGGCTTCATTCAGAACAGTTGTCCAGGGGAGACTCTAATCGGATCCTGCACACAAGAATGGGGACAATGCTGGATCCTGCAGGCAGTGATCTCTGGGGTGCAGTGTCTCCTCCTGACCTTATTGCATGGTGTTGGTACAGATCCAAGGCAGCAATTTCTCTGGAGAGGAGTCTAGTCCCTGAAAGTCCTTTTGACACCCACCCACTGTGAAGGTTTGAAGATTGGCCTTCTGGCCTTGCAGCAGGACTGGTGAGCATGTGGCAGTCTCTTCCCAGAAAATGCTCCCTATGTGAAGGGGTGATAAAAGTTTTCTGAGCAGAGCTTAACCCCTTCATGTCTGGACACTTTTACCCCCTTCCTGTCCCAGGCCAATTTTCAGCTTTCAGCGCTGTTGCACTTTGAATGACAATTGCGCGGTCATGCAACACTGTACCCATATGAATTTTTTAGCATTCTTTTGAGATGGATAAAACTTTATTTTGGTGGTATTCATTCAACACTGGGATTTTTATCTTTTTTTTTTTTTTTTTTTTTTGCTATATAAATGAAAGTCCAAAAATGTTAAGTAAAATAATGGCCAAAATGTATTCAGTTATCTTTTTAGTAAAAAAAAAAAACCCAAATTAGTTTATAACCAAAAATTATTTATCAAAAACTATTTTTTAAAATTTTTATTTTTTTTATAATTTTTTTTTTAACATACTGTCACCCTAGCAGTACAGTGTCACCATAGTGACACTGTACTACTTGTGGGGGGTGATGATTTTTTTTTTTTTTTTGTACATTGATTGCTTTTACACTCATAAAGGCTGTAAAAGCAATAATTTCTGCTTCTCTCTGGCTGCTTTCTTGCAGCCATTGAGAAATACTGTGTGTGAGCTGTGATTGGTAACAGCTTGTCACATGGTACAAGGCTGTTGTGAATAGCCTTGTACTATGTGATCTCTGTGATCATTCACAGATTTCGCATTTAGTAAGCAATGATGTCAGGAAGTGACATCTTGCTTACTACTATTCATGTGATCACTGATTGGCCACCAGAGTTTTTTATTTTTTGCTAAATAAAACACCTGAAACTTTTGAAAAAAAAAAACACTTTTCTTCGTTTGTTATAAAATTTTACAAATAAATAACATTTCTTCATAAATTTAGGTCACAATGTATTCTGCTACATTTCTTTGAAAATAATAATTGAATTTGAATTTTTTTTTTCAAATGTTTCTAATTTGTTTTTTTATTACTTTTTTTTTTTTTTTTTTTGTTTTTTTTTTACGATTTTATTTTTCAGCACACTGTGACCAAAGCAATACAATGTTACCATAGTAACATTGAACTACTCTGGGCAAGTGATCAGGATTTTTTTTTTCTTTTTTCAACACATTATGATTACTAATACCAATGTAATAGAACGGTAGTGCAGCGCTAAATCAATATTAAAATCATAAAATTGATAAAAATAGCACAATACTTATTATAAAATGCTGTGATAAAATTCATTAAACAGAATAATATTGAAGTTCGTAAAGTGACTTTCAGTGCTCTTAATGGTGCTGCTTGTTCTGGTACGTCTGTGCTTGAGCAGTGATATGAACAGAATTTCGCACTCACCAGATGCGCAGTATATATGCGCCAGTATAAATATATCCTGAAGTCATCAAGGTAGGTATGATGTTGGGGTGATTTCCCTCTGAAGGACACGGTGGTGGAACAATCAGATCCTGGGACTTTAAGTGCTGACCCAACACAGCCAGAGTTCCCCTTAAGGGATAGATGGATGCTGCTTCCTAGATATGCAGGAGGATCCCTCTGGGTACTGGGATGGATCTTTGTCACATACAGGGCATCTGAAAGTTAATGCTCCACTCAGGAGTTCAGACACAGGAATATGCCCATAGTGTAGTAAATTAAATCTACATTTATTGAGTATTGCATTCAGAAAACAAGATAAAATCGCAATAAGAAATGGGACTAACCGTCCTTCAATAAAGATGGCCGCCGTTGCTCCGGCGGCGTGACGTCGCCGTGTAATTGGCTTCTCCTTGCGCGTTTCATGCACCCGCACGTCATCAGAGGGGATCGCCAATGCATTACCATTATATTATTCTTTTGAGGTTTTTACTTTGGTTGCCTTTGTGCATAGCTGCTTTACCTTTGAGTGCGCTTATATGTTTACCATTATTACCATATTATACTAATATCGTATTTCATTGATATTTGCAATCATTGTTATTGAATGACACTAATTCAGTCAGTCTTTTGTTGTGATTAGCTCTGATTGGGCAAAGCTGATCACATGATACAGGTGGGCTGCGATTGGCCCTGTCTGTATCATGTGACTGCCTTGACCAGTCACAGCTAATATAATTGTATACAATGGATGGCATGACAGGAAGCCATCCATTGTATACACTTAACATGTGATCTGCTGTGATTGGTCACAGCGGTCACATGACACTGGCAATGGGCCGGTGTAGTGATATGCCATCGGCTGTGTCCCGTGGACACAGCCGATGACAGACTACGTGGGCCCCGCAGCTGCGTGAGCAGCTCGTTTTAATAGGATGCCCAGTCACAACGGCGAGTGTCCCGCCCAGCCGTCAATCTACTATAAGCCGGGGCGGGAAGGTGGTAAGGGGGGGGGGGGGGGGCTGTAGTGGAGAGCTGCATGCAGAAGGTTTTTTATCTTCGTGTTTAGAATGGGCATCTATGGTCATAGAGAAGAGCATATCCACATCAGTCATTCAAGGATTATTATTATTATACAGGATTTATATAGCACCGACAGTTTGCTCAACGCTTTACATTATGGTGAGAGACAGTACAGTAACAATTCAATACAAGAGGGATTAGAGGGCCCTGCTCCTTGGAGCTTACAATCTAGGAGGGAGGGGATAGTGGTACAAGAGGTAATAACTGTGGGGGATGGAGTGGTTGGAAGAGTAGAGGATTCCAGTATTAGCTGAGGGCAGGATAGGCTTCCCTGAAGAGGTTTTCAGAGTGCGCCTAAAAGTGAGCAGAGTAGGCGATAGTCTGATGGATTGGGGTAGAGAGTTCCAGAGGATGGGGGAAGTCCTGGAGACTAGCATGGGAGGAGGAAACGAGAGCTAGCGAGTAGGAGGTCTTGTGAGGAGCGGAGAGTACGGTTTGGGTGATATTTGGAGACAAGATCGGTGATGTAAATTGGGGCAGAGTTATAAATGGCTTTATACATTAGTGTTAGCGTTTTTGAACTTTATCTGTTGGGCAATTGGAAGTCATTGAGGTGCAGCATTCAGCTTTAAAACCAAATGATGGAAGCTGCAGCTTGAGCCATCCATGTGTCATTGCACACTCCAAACAGGATCATAGCTGACCCTGGCCATGAGTATATTAATGAACATGTTTCTCACCATAAAAATATCCAACCTTATTACTAATAAACGCTTTCTCTGCAGTCCCTTCTAGGATCGCATTATTGCACTTGGGGTGACCATGGCGGCATTCTGATGGCGATTGCTCAAGGTGTAGAGACCAACCAAATAAAGTAGGTGATTGTTAGTTTATATGTATATCACATCCAAGAACTTTTTGTGTAATACAAAAGATCAAATACCTTCTGTCTGTATTGCTTCCTAGATGTTAGTTTTGGGATTTGATACCTGATTATGAGATCCTCTTGCTTTGCCTGCTTCACGCTAAGCTCCACCTACTGCCACTCCCCCTCTCCGATTCTGTGTCCTTACTGGCTACCAAGTTTGTGTCCAAACTCTGCCAACTACCCTGTACTAGAACACCAAGTCCAGATATCGAAGGCCCAACAAAGTGAACATAATTATGGAGGCGCATAGAAGGCTCTCTTCTGGCTAGTAAATATGATGGGCACCCAGGGGGGTGTTTACTTTTACATTTCCTGTGCTTAGAGAATTTTTATTACAGCTGTGAGCTAGCCGCATGCACCTGTGTGCACTACTAGTTCAAGCACTGCAGTCACTGAGAGCCGCAGATCTCCGACTAAGGATCAGGAGCCAGTTATGACTTCCACTCATAGTGATCACATACACACTTGGAGGTTTGTTTACAAACAAATCTCTCCAGCCTGCAGATGTGCACCAATTATGAGTTTAGTGTACGTTTTAGCAAAAATACTGTTTTGCCTTTCAATGTTTTTATTAATTTATAAACAGTTTAGGAAGACAAGAGCAACAAAAACACGCCCACGTAGGGCCATCAATTGCACATAAAAAAAATAAAGAAAACAGTGCTCTAACACCAACAGGGCAAAAGATGCACCCACGCAGGGGCTATCAATGGCACATAAATGAGAAAAACAGTGGTATAACACCGACAGTAACTCAAACCAAAGGCAGCTATCCACTGCCACGCCAAGAACAAACAGAAAAAGAAAAGGAAGGGAGGAGTACAAATGGAAAAAGATGACAAGACAAGAGCAGGGGTCTGAGAACGCCAATACCGAACAACATCACAACCCCAGACTAGCTGGGGGGGAGCGTTGGAAGGGCATATTGCAACCACGGCTCCCATATTTTCAAGAATTTCCATGGGGAATCATTACATGTACTCGACATCTGTTCATTGAGCATCATAGTAGTCCTTCACCCCCTGAAGAGGGACAAACAGGCTCTTATATGCTTGAGCAATTGTTCTAGTGGCCGACAAAAACAATTAGGAAGCCAACTTCTGCTGGTGAGCCAAGAGGCCCGGTATAAAAATACTGTTTTGATAAACATTTACCCAAATATCACGGGACCTAAAAAAAGAAAAAAAAAAATCAGTAGCACTTTCTTTTAATTCTAACGGTCCTATTGCTTCCAGAAAATGTATGGCTTGATGAGTCTCTTGAAGCTGCACATGGGGTGCGGGGAATTGCAAAAATGGCATTGCCACCTGAGCTTAAGTGGTTGTAAACTGAAGACCTGAAATATGAACAAATCATATCCCTCTATAGTGCTCTTGTCTCAATCCACAGTACTGTCATTTCTCTCTGCTGCCATGTTTCTTTCCATCTGCATAAGTCTCTTCTAACAAGTGTTTTCCTGACACAAAGAGAAAAAGATGGGTAAGCTGCTCCCGCAGCCTGTGATTGACAGTCTCAGCTCTGTTCCTGTGTTCTGTGTTCAGAGGGTGTGTCCCTTCCATCCAATCACCTCTCACAGCTCTTCTCATGGATTTATGCAGAGTGTAACTTCAGCTCTCCGCCCCCTGCTTTCTGAAAGCTCAGACAAGCATTATAAATTTTGGCCTTTAAACAGATGTAGAGAAGAGAATACGAACACAGGTACAACTTATGTAGGAGGATTTGTTTCATCCCATGTATCAGCTGAGGCCACTCACTTCACTGGGTATATGTAAGGGTTTACAACCACTTTAAAGTGGAGTGCAGGGCCTGGCAGCGGAAGGATTAAAGTTCAATAAAACATGGAGATCCGCTTTTAAGGCATAGTGGTGTTCGTTTTGGACATGTAGGATTCCATGACTTCTGGTTATGAAAAGTTTAAGCGGAGGAAGCGTTAGGCCTTCTCCTGTCTCCTTTACTTCCATGTTACTACAGTAGTGATGGGAAGCCAAGTTATAGAAGTTTGGTTGTGACGCTGTGAGCTGTTATTCTAGGAAGTGATGATGTGCTGCAGAGTGGGGTCCAATATCTGCTGGTTTGGCATGCATTTCTCCCTTCAGCTTTCCTTCTCTTTCCCTCACTTCCTTGAGACTATCACATCTAATTCTAATCCAACCCAACCTCCCAAAGTTGTCATGGTAACTGGCATCCTAAAACAGATTGTGTAATATTCTTTCCATAATGCACTCACACACAGTCCTGTTCACACTGGTGTGATTTCTCCTGCGTCTCCCTTCACGCTGCCACACCCCAATAATGGAAATCACTTTATTCTTTATGGTCAATAATAAAGAAAAATACCACCAGAAATAGGCGGGGTAGCCTTATGGTAAGCCCAAAGACTCGCCTAATAATAATGGTGTGGGTGTAAACCTGGCATAGTACAGAAAACAAAAAATAGTAGTTGCAAAACACACTTACCAAAGTAGGGAACAATCCACCCAAGCAATGTAGCTCACATGTAAAACCACATTTATTAATCCCATATGAGGGGGAAAAAGTGATCTCTGCAGACAGTGAACACCAAACCACTAGACATGTAATTAATTAGAAATGGAGTTCCATGTCTAGTGGTTGGGTGTTCACTGTCTGCAGAGATCACTTTTTTTTTTTTTTTTCCCCTCATATGGGATTAATAAATGTGGTTTCACCTGTGAGCTACATTGCTGGGGTGGATTATTACCTACTTTGGTAGTGTGCGTTTTGCAACTATTTTTTTATTTTTTTTTTTAATTTATGGTGCCTGTTCATCAGTTCCACAAGGTGCAGTGCGAATTCTGAAAAGGTGCTTTTTTTTAGTGCAGCATTCTGTGCTTTTGGCCTCATGGTGTTATGTATAGTACATGTGTTTTTTAGCGTTTTTAATTCCAGTCTCCTCCTACTACAAAAAAACATGAACTACATCAAAAATTTAAAAACATATGAATGTTAGGCGCTAGTGTGAACCTAGGCTTAATATTTAGGAAGAACCAAGACCTGTCCCTACGTCTGTACCCTGCTATTGTTTTAGAGAGGTTTTGCTGCCAAGTTACTTGTGTGCTGTAAGCAAAGGGCTAAAACAAACCACAGTGGACATTGCAACATATCGCTGGAGATGGGAGCGGTTTGTTTTGTCATGTGCTGCCCCCTGAAGGCAGAGACTGAACCTGTCCTTCGTCCTGCATCATTCCTTGTCCTTTTTGTCCTTCAGGTATAGTACAAACGAGGGAGAAACGTGGAAAACCTTCAACTTCTCAGACAGCCCACTCATTGTGTACGGATTGCTGACTGAACCCGGGGAGAAAAGCACAGTGTTCACCATCTTCGGGTCGTACATTGGAGGAGGACACAGCTGGGTCATATTACAGGTCAACACAAGCGACGTCCTCGGTACAAACCTCATTTTATGAATGCGTTATGTCCCAGATCTGGATTGTAATTTACATGGCCTCTCCATTAAGGCTGTGATAAGGAGTCGTGATATGCTCAGTTATATTTTCTGTTTCATTCATTGAGAGACACAGCTCATCTATTTTTTTTTTTTTTTTTTAATCCATGACCAAACAAGGTTTTATAGCCCACCCACAGGAGTAGGACACTAGGCAGAGAAAAAAACTTGGCAATTCCTATGGGCAGTCCTCTCTGGGCATAAAACCCCCTCTCTGATATAGAGAAGCTTGGAGATTTTCTGTCAACATTCTGGCTGGGCAATGGGCTGGATAATCTAGATCCAGTGGTCACCCCAGTCTGACCAGTGGGTGCACGCAGCGCACTAGGTCCGTGCTTGGTTGGCCGAGACAATGCCCCTCCTGGACCAGGGTGTTACCTAGACTGGCTAACACCCCCCCCACTTCAGTGAAAAGGAGTGTCATGGGTGCCTTACCCGCACGCTCTGCATGGATTGGTAAGTAAATGCCCCCCTCCTTCCTCGGATGCGGTGTGGGTGCTTCCTGAGGTGGTCGGTTCCTATGGGGTTTTCCTCTTTCCCACCCCCACCCCTGCTGACCTGGTGGTGGTCTACCTCCCCCCTCGCTTGGCCACTGCCAAGGGTGTCCCCTGTCCTACCTGGGTCCCTAGATGGGCACACTGTATCCTCAACAGTCTAGCAGTCAGTGGGTGCAGGGGTGGCAAGTTTTTTTTTTTTTTTTTTTTTTTTTTTTTTTTTTTTTTTTTTTTTTTTTTTTTTTTTTTTTTATGAGCCGTTTGAGGTGGGCAGTCCTGGTTTGGGTGTTATCCCCTGAGATGAGGTGATCCTGCTCTGAAGCAATGCTGGCAGCCCTCCCTCAATCCCTCCTACCTTGCTGGGGTCCAAAGAGGTCATCTGAGCTATTCCCCTGCTACAGTGCTTTTGTCCTCTGGTTTGGGCACGGCTGTCTGTGCCGCATCCCGTGATACCAGGCACAGCTCTCAGTGAGAGGTCCCAGGGGTTACGAGGCCTGATCAGCTGGTCAGTTTGTTTTTGTTTCTTCTGCTCACTTTACTGAGTTTGTGTGCCTGGGGACTCCCATAGCGGAGATTTTGTGGTCCCTAGGCGCTTTGGGGTGCATTACCCCTTGGGACGGCTCTTCTTGAAGAAGTGGACCTGATCTATGGTGGGTCTCCGATCCTTTCCTGATTGCACAGGCATCCATGATACCAGGGGTGGAGCTTCCCTCCTTCACAAAGGGAGCCGCAGGGCAGACTGTGACCCGCTCTGTGTACCGTGGCGTAGTAGGCATTTTGGCCTGTGGCCGTAATGGTCTTGTGCTTTCCAATGCACATAGGCCAAGTTGCGTTGACCCGGTTCAAATACTGGATATGTGGATCAGGTGCATGGTGGCTCTGGCGGGCTGGTTTGGCCCAGAGCTGGAAGAACCTATGTGGTATATTCACTAATGCTGCTTCCTTCTATTCCAAGCTCTCCATTTCTTGGTGATGTTTTGGTGGGTCTTTGGGTTCATATGCTGGTTGCTGACCAGGCTCCCACGAGGCCCTTCCCTTCCACAGGTTTATTTTCTTTGGTACTGCCTTGGACAATATCGAGCCCTTCTCGGCTGACGTGTTGTTCTTACCACTGTCCACAGTGGTGATGGCGTTGCTAGTCTTTTCCTCCGTCCCTTCTATCCTGCCTTCGAGCCCTGTGTGGTGTGCTGTGCTGTGCTGTGGTGCGGGACCTGCTTGCCGGGGCGTAAGCTTGCTGGTGCTGAGGTGGAGTGGTTCCGGAGTTTTTCTCCTTCCAATTGGTTCCCAGTCCCATGCCTGGATGGGGTTTCCTGCTTCTGGGCCTGGAAGCCCTGTATTACCTTGTGCTGGTTCAGAGGTTCATGCTGGAATCCATCCATGCGGTGGGGGTCTCTCCCTCTTAGGGTTATCATTTTGCGGGGCTTCTCTTCAAGCTGGTCTTGTCTCCCCAAGTGTTCTCCAGAGTGCAGGCCTCTGTTCTGGTGTTGCTGAGACTACAGGAAATGGTCAGGCCCTTGGCCACGCATCTTTGGTTCACACTTCATCAGGGAATTTGTCATGTGGTGCTCCTGTTGCCACTGTGGGACTTGAATTTGGTGCAGTTGGCTCTTCAGCAGCCTCCTGTTTGAGAGCATTTGATTTTCCCTTACGCTTTCACAGAGTTTCTTTCCTGGTCGCTATCACTTTGGCTTGGCAGCTGTCAGAGTTGGCGACTTTGTGTAAAACCAGAAAAGGCGGCTTATAGGACAGACTTGGTGGGTGCTTTGACCTCCCCCCTCCTTTCTTCCAAAGGTGGTGTCAGATTTTCATTTGAACATGAGAACGTCTTCTGTCTTTGGGTTCTTGGCCGTCGCACCCTTTAGGAGGTGGCTCAGCAATCTTGTGAACTATGTCCAAGGAGTGCAGTGTACCTTTCTAGGATGGCTGCTTTTCGGTCCGATTCTTTGTGCTGACGGCCGACCAAAAAAGGCTTAGCAGCCTCTTCTGTGATTTGCCATTGGATTCCGCAGGTGCCTTTCCTTCCTTGTTACGGCGCGCTCCACCTGGGTGATTAGCGCCTCCTGGGCGTTTCGGGCATCTGCTTCTCAGGTTTGCTAAGTGACAATCAAGTTGTCTGTGCACACATTTCCTACATTCTATGAAGTTGATGTGTCAGCATCTTCCAGTGCTAGTTTTGCAGGAAAAACGACTCTTTGGGGCAGGAAAAACGTTTAGGACTCTCAGGCACCATTGGGGTGGTTCGGAGTGTTGGCATGTTGCCCTGGGTATGTTCTCAATAGACATAGGCTGCATATGGTGGTGTCTAGTGGACTCATTAAGAATAAGATTTTACAAGGGTGTGTAAAACCTCTGCAGACCATTGCTTCTGCACCACCGAACTGACCTCTGTATCATGCTGACAGGGGACAGGATTTTCTACTGAGGCTGTGGCTGTTTTGTAAAGAGAACCAAACCTTAAGAACTTGTACATCTTTTGTTTTGATGCATAAGGAATGTATTTGTCTGATTTTAAAGGATAGTTCACCTTTGTAACATCTCGCATGTTCCACCCATATTTATTGTGGAATGTGAAATATGTTGCAGCTCCTGTCTCCTCTGCCACCCTCCTTGATTCCCACCCTCCCTGTGACTTTGGACGGGGGATTTTCTCCCTGTATCCCCTGTCCTAATTTAAAAACCATGCGGCAATGCTGGGCTCCTCCCACCTAGTTGCATCATTCATTCAGAGTTCTGTGAATTGATGAACTGCAACTATAGGTCACTTTGGCTGACAGCTTGTAGTTTTGAATGAACGGAGAGAGCTCACCTAGTTAATTGATTCTTCCTGCTATTTAGTAACCTCCTGCCCGTACTAGATAGGGGCAGACAGTGTACGGAGAGTCTGCAGGATCCTGCCATTGGCAATCTGCTGATTACGGGTGCAATGCTTTACAGCCTGCAGAGTAAAATAAACCGAATAAATGTACTTTTTTTTTTTTTTTTTAACCTTCAAAAGGATATAAATGTGTTTTTTAATTTTTTTTACTTTTTTTAAAAAAAAAAGCTGAACTTGGCCTTTTAAACTGTAACTTCAGTTGGGTTGTAATGAGGTGGTTTGTCGTGATGCTCTGGAAACAGGCACTTGCTAATCTTTTGGTGTTGTCTTACTTGTAGGTGTGCCATGCACAGAAAATGATTATAAATTATGGTCGCCCTCCGATGAGCGAGGCAACGAGTGCTTACTGGGGAGAAAAATAGTTTTCAAGAGACGAACACCACATGCCACTTGCTTCAATGGAGAAGACTTTGATCGGCCAATTACATCCTCCAACTGCTCCTGTACTAGAAAAGATTTTGAGTGGTATGTGGAGTTTTTTTTTTTTTTTTTTTCTTATTTGCTGACCTCCTGTAAAGTGTATACCCTGCCTACAGGAGGTAGGATGCCAGGAAAGCTGCCATTACTACACTATATTGCCAAAAGTATTGGTCGGCCTGCCTTTACACGCACATGAACTTTAATGGCCCCCCAGTCTTAGTCCGTAGGGTTCAATATTGAGTTAACACGCTCTTTGCAGCTATAACAGCTTCAACTCTTCTGGGAAGGCCGTCCACAAGGTTTAGGAGGGTGTCTATGGGAAGGTTTGTCCCACTAATCCAGAAGCTCATTTGTGAGGTCAGGCACTGATGTTGGGACGAGAGGGCCATGTTCTTTTGGGTTGAGGTCCGGACTCTGTGCAGGCCAGTCAAGTTCCTCCACCCCAAACTCGCTTATCCATGTCTTTTGTGGACCTTGCTTTGTGCACTGGTGAGCAATCATGTTGGAACAGGAAGGGGCCATCCCCAAACTGTTCCCACAGAGTCACAGATTTGGGAGCATGAAATTGTCCAAAATGTCTTGGTATGCTGGCGCCTTAAAAGAGTTCCCTTTACTGGAACTAGGTGGCCAAGCCCAACCCCTGAAAAACAACCTCACACCATAATCTCTCCTCCACCAAACTTAATGCTTGGTACATGGCCGTCAGGCAAGTTCCTATCTCCTGGCATCTGCCAAATCCAGACCCGTTCATGGGATTGATTGCCAGACAGAGAAGCATGATTCGTCACTCCAGAGAACACCTCTCCACTGTTCTAGAGTTCAGTGGCAGTGTGCTTTACACCACGGCATCTGACACTTTGCATTGCTCTTGGTGATGTAAGGCTTGGAGGCGGCTGCTCAGCCATGAAAATTGTGTGCTTCAGCATGCGCTGACCCCGCTCTGTCATTTTTTTATGTGGCCTACCACTTGGTGGCTGAGTTGCTGTTCCCAGTTGCTTCCACTTTGTTGTAATACCACTACCAGTTTACAGTGAAATATTTAGTAGCCAGGAAATGTCACAGATGGACTTATTGCACAGGTGACAACCTATCACGGTACCACGCTTTAATTCACTGAGCTCCTGAGAGCGACCCATTCTTTCGCAAATGTTTGTGGAAGCAGTCTGCATGCCTAGGTGCTTGATTTTATACACCTATGACCATCGAGGTGATTGGAACCAAAGATTTGGAGGGGGCAATACATTTGGCAATATAGTGTATGTGAACTCATACCTCAACTACTAGACCATGGTTTTGAAGTGTCTGCAAAAATTTGGAATGCCTCATATCTATTCTTGTACCCGCTTCTTTTTTTTCTTATGGTTTCATTTGGTCTTGTGTTGTAGTATTTTTTATTTCACCAATTCACTGGCCAGAGAGGAGTTCAGCCTTTTCCCTATTTCTGTTATGGGAATGAGCAGCTTTGCATGATAGTATTTTAAGTTTTACACCAGGAGCTTGTTTACAGAAGGAGTCTGGCACAGAAATTACCTCATCAGTGATGATTTTTGTCTTGACTAACCCCCCCCCCCCCCCCATTGTTTAATTTTTGTGTACTTTTGCCTTTAACACATTTGATTTCCTCTGCAGTGATTACGGCTTTAAACTCAATCAAGACCTGAGATTGGAGAACTGTGTCCCTGACCCTGAATTTGCTGGGAAGCTGTACCCCATACCCTCACCCTGCCCTGTGGGCACCACATACAAGAGGAGCAGAGGGTGAGTGCTTCTGAACAGCCCCCTGACATAACTGATGGGCTTTCTGTTATGATACGAGTCACCTGTAGCATCCATAGATAATTGTTGATAAATTACAAAGAATACTTGCAATCCTTTTTTTTATATAGATCCTTGATTCGCCAGTAACATCTGTTTGTGTAAAGAGAAAAAAAAAGACTACATTTTCTTCTTGTATACTTTGTAAGAAGAGACACTTTTTTTTTTTTTTTTTTTCTCCTTTAAAAAAATATTAAAGAAACCCATCACACCTGATCGTTCAAGATTGAGGCTCCATGCACACTAGCTGTTTTTTAGCTCCATAAATGCTAGAGAAAAAAAAAACTATGAAAAATGCTGATAATAGCGTTTGTGCCGGTTTGTAGTAGCATTTTAGAAACATTTTATTAGCGTTTTTTACAGTACATGTAGGGAAAAAAAACGGTTAGGAGCATTTATGAACGTTCAGCATTTTTTTTTTTTTTTTTTCCTGCCAGAAAAACGCTCCCAAAAACTCAACAAAAACATTTTTTTTTTCCCTGCTCCTAAATGCGTCAGCTTGAAAAAAATGCTACTAGCCTAAATTTTGTACATGGACTTAGTGGCTGATTTACTAAAACTGGAGAGTGCAGAATCCTGGTGCAGCTCTGTGCAGAAACCAATCGGTTTCCAGGTTTCATTGTGAAAGCTTAATTGAAGAAGCTGACGTTCGAAGCTGGCTGACTACCATGCACAGCTGCACCAGATTTTTCACACTCCAATTTTAGTAAATCAACCCCAGAGAATAACACTACAGTATTTGGCTTCTAGGAGCAGGAAACATTTGAGTACTGTCCGTGATACTTTTTTTTTTTTATTTGCACTAACATACAATTTTGAGGACAAGCTTTCGGGGAATGTCCCCTTCTTCAAGGTCTAAGGAGCAGGAAAAAAAACTCTTGTGTGCATGGAGCCTGAGAGATGACCTGAAGTCTGACAGATGCTGCAGGTCCACTGCTTGACCTCTCTCACTGTCTCCAAGTTTCTGAGTGTGCATAACAATTTTCGATAACCGGATCCCACAGTAAGGAGGAAGCTTTGGAGCTTGCTACTGTTATGCTCAGTCGGACACTGGAAGACAACGAGGTTTGGCAATTGACAGTACAACAGCAGTTGTGAATGTATTTATTACAGGCATTTTTATAGCTCAGGCTAATGACACCTCCCTTTTACATGCTATACTGCAGGATCCTCACATAAGGTGAGAAAGTGGCATATGCTATTGGTTCCAATAAGATGGCTCCAGAAATAAAAAGATGTAACATATGGGCAGCCCCATGTGCGCTTTGAATTCTGCATGATATTGGTTGCTCTGATCTATGATTAGGTGTTATCATATTCATTCCCGATCTTCATGCATAAATGTAAAGCAGTAGTAGGTATTTCCAGTCTAGTGACCTTTTAAATTTTGAGTTGTGTACTTTTTTATAATGTCAGGGAAATGATACAGCTTTGCTGCACCTCTTTAACAGTTGGTTCCTTTATTTAGTTACCGCAGGATATCTGGAGACACGTGTTCCGGGGGAGATGTGGAGGCCCGACTGGACGGAGAAGAAGTCCCATGTCCCGTAGGAGGTAATTAGTCTAGATTGCCTAAAATCACCATGCAGTGCTCCACGTAGTGATCTTCATCGCAGTACTAGAACTGCGGCTTCAGGTGATGCTTCGGAATGATTTCGAGTGAGTTTTGAACCATCATCTCTAAACTGATTAGATCCTGTAGACCAAAGCAGTACTTAGTGGGTTTAATGGATATGAAAGGCCTGTAAGTAACCGATTCCTGACTGCTCTCTGTTCCTTGGTACAATATGTGTTTATCACACAAATTCCCTCCAAGGGAACTGCATTAATAGCAAAGGTTTAGCAAACTTACAAAATCTTGACCTCCTTTCATTAAAAAAAAAAAAAAAAAAAACAACAAAAAAACAAAATGCTTCACACTGCTCTGTTGAAAAAATGGTGCATTTTCTGCTTGCCGTACTCGGTCATGCACCTGAGAAACAGACTTCTGCTACTCCATCATTCCCTATGCATTCAGGAGCATTTCAGAAAATCCTGCCAAAGATTTAAACTCTTATGACAGAGTATATCTGCAATGTGAATTCAAGCACCATGTTGACTACTAGGAAAAGCAGTGAGCTAATCATATGAGCAGAAAATGCAATTTCTGGGGTTTTCCCACACAGCTTGTACAGAACCACCCACTGTTGCTCTGGTTGCAATAGAAATGAACATTTTTGGGAGTTATAGAAATCTGGATGCAGATTGCACTGGGGACTGTAATTTTTAATAACTGTAGGTTATTAAATGGTTTGTGTAGCAAATATATCCCTGGTGCCCAACTTGTGGCTCTTTGATGCTTGCCCTGTGGCCCTCTGGAGACTTTAGCTGTCAGTAATGGAAATATTCATTTCTGGGAGGCTATGACAGTGATCTGTAGCAGTCTTGTGTAGCATGTCCCCAGTCTGACTGTTTTTTATAATGTGTTCCTGTTGTCTCATGTAAAATGCTCCAGGTCTCTGCCAAAAAGTCATAATATCCAACATGAGAGAAGAGACTGTCACTCTCGGGGGCCATAGTTGAGGCCCTCGACACCTTGTCAGTTGACCACTGACACACTTTTGCAAAGGCAGAGTTTTCTTGTAACTTTTTTTTTTTTTTTTTTTGCTCTTTTTAAAGAGGAGAACGAATTCATCTTGTATGCCATGAGGAACGCCATTTACCGCCATGACCTCTCCTCTGGGGTCAGTGAGGAACTGCCACTAAAGGGTCTGCGGGGTGCAGTGGCTTTGGATTTTGACTACGAAAGTAACTGCTTGTACTGGGCAGACGTCACATTAGATGTCATTCAGGTGAGAGTTCTGTGTGTCCGCTTAGTCTGAATCTTGACCTGGAAAAAATTGTGATGCCAGTGTGCCAAGAGATGAAAAATAGAAGCAACTTTTTTGCTGGACAAACATTTCAAACCAGATTTGTGGGCTGATTTTGTTTTGGTTGCAAGACTTTTTGATTCTCCATGTGACCTAATTATCATTTTATAATTGGACAAAATGTTGGCTTGATCTAACCCTAGAAAATACTTCATTCAGATAATGCTGTGTACGTTTTGTCTCCTTGTAGCGTCTGTGTCTGAATGGCAGCTCGGGGCAGGAAGTTCTTGTTCGAGTCGGGTTGGAAACCGTAGAGTCCCTGGCATTCGACCCCATTAGTCACTTGCTTTACTGGGTTGACGCTGGCAGTAAGAAAATTGAAGTACGTTAATGTCTGTTTATTTTTTTTAATAAATGCTTTCGTGAGCAATTAAAATATGAATTCTCAAAACTAATGTATGTAAGCTTGTTAGACTTCCCATTCTAAAACCATGGCTATTTTTAATATAGTTGTCCCCTACCCCCCATCTATAACCCCATGTACCGTATTTTTCGCTCCATAAGACGCATCTGACCATAAAATGCATACATTTTAGAGGAGGAAAACAAGAAAAACAATTCTGAACCAATGGACTGCGGACATACTACAGGAGATGACCAGAGACTGCGGACCTTTGGGGAGCGGATATCCGAATTTGACAGATACCCGCTCCCACTTCTGCAGAGTTGTCCTCATAGTCTTGTGGGACACGTGACAGGTCCCAGAAGACTACAGGTGGCCATTCACAAAGCGCAGCGCTTCTCACGCATGCGCAGTGGGCACCCGGCTGTGAAGCGGCAAGCTGAAGATGCCGGGAGAGAAGATGGCCGGTGAAAGCAGGACACTGCTGTACTGAGGAAAAGGTAGGGCCAAGGAGCACGTTCTTATGCACTGTAGAGCCGAGTGGCCGGCCCGGTATTATAACGCAGTGGCGGGAATACCGGTCCAGCCACTCCATATTTGCTCCATAAGACGCACAGACATTTTCCCCCATTTTTTGGGGGGGAAAAAGTGCGTCTTATGGAGCGAGAGCTATACGGTACTTTATTTGGCTTTCCACAAGATTTATGGTATGTCCGTTGGAATTTGTGTCCATTTGTCAGGTGGTGTTGGATGAGCAGACCTGGGTCACAATTGTAATTCCAATTCATCCCAAAGGTGTTCAGTAGGGTTGAAGTCAGGGCTGTGTCCAGGACACTACAGTACCTCCACACCAAACTGGTCAAATCATGCCTTTTATCCAGCTATCTTTGTGCACAGGGACACAGTCATGCTGGAACCAAAAAGGGCCATCCCCAAACTGTTACACAAGGTTAAAGCACAATTATCTTAACATGCCTTTGTATGCTGGAGCATTAACAGTACCTTTCACTGAAAATGCTTGATCTTAATTTAGAGAGATCCACATACATTTGGTCATATAGCATAGTATAAATGGTAACAAATCCATAGTGAGAAGCTTCCAATAATAGTTTGAATAACTTTATTTTGCAGTTTTTATGTATTTTTATGTCCAAAATGACGGAATTAAATCTAGTATATTGATGTTGCCACGTGAATGTTGCCCATGCACATACCGATGGGGCAGGACCAGGCCAGCGGTTTTCCCCAGTGGTCATCAGCACTTTGAGGCCTACATTGTTTTTACTGTCAACATTGTTTTATTTCACCTGTAAAGTCTTGTGAAGACTACATTTGTTTGCCCTTTAAGTTACTACACTTTAATAAACAAATTATGACGCCAACCCTGCTGTTGTCTACATCAATGCATCGTTTGGTCCTTCAGATATAATAGAGCTCATAGAAATGCCAAGCAAACCAAGCCGGGGAGGGTAGTAACCAGGAGGATCGATATGCATACAACTGTTGTTCAGATTGATTTCTGTTTGTAGGTTGCCAACCCAGATGGGGACTTACGGCTGACTGTTCTCAACTCCTCTGTCTTGGAAAGACCAAGAGCTCTGGCTTTGGTTCCTCAGGAAGGGTGAGTCACTGCCTACCAGTCACCTAGAAGTATTTAGAAATTTCTAGTTGGGTGTTATAATGGGTGAGTGGCCTTTTTCAGATATTTCCTGTCTACATGCACCCTTTCTAGTGTCTTTCCATCAGAAATCTGTGCAAAAGGGTAACAACAATAGTGAGCTTTGCTAAAATAGGAAGTGCCTGAACAAGGATATTCATGGCAGGATCATAAGGGATTTTTTTGTATTTCATAAAATGTGCAGATTTTAATCTCACTGAGACAGTGTAACAATACAGGTTGAGAAGGGACTTCTTAGAACAGAAAGTATTCCTATGTTTCATTCTATCACTTATCCCAAAAATAGAAGTTTATTCCTAATTTCAGTACATTGGGCCAATAATGAACTAATGTTTTATAGCTTAATATGACCTAATATTATACAGCCATTTATTCCAAACCGCATACAGCTTTTCAGTTTTTTTTGTTTTTTTTTTTGGCAATGATCAGTGCAGTGTATGGAAACCATGGCTTATATGGAGAAGGGCTTGAGGCCTGTCTGTATGGTTGGTAGTGTTTAGTCGTTCGTTCCCAAGGTTCCCATGGTTAGGCTTCCCATCCTTTCTTCAGCTCCTTTGGGGAAGATCCCCCAAGTTCCACCTGTGATGTACTGGACCACCTTGCCTATACCAAGGAACATTGGATGTCTAAGTATCCTCAAATATCTTGAATACTGCCAAGAGTGTCAAGAAGACTAAAGGCATTGAATAGCATTGTAGCAGCATCACCTTGTATGCATTGCAATCGCATAAGATGATGTGGTGTGCTTAACCCTATGTTTGCTAAACATTGACCCCTTAAGGACGTGGAGTTTTTTGTTTGGTTTTTGTTTTTTTTTGGGGTTTTTTTTAAGCTACCTGCCTATGACAAGGGTCTCTGTCATGTATGATATATTACAATCCTTCTTAAAAAAAAAGACCTAAAAACACTGTTTTGCAGATTTTTTTTTTTTTTTTTTTTTTTTTTTCCCTTAACCACCTACTCTCTGGAAGATTTACCCCCTTCCTGACCAGCCTTCTTTTGTGATGCAGCACTGTTACTTTAACTGACAATTTTGCAGTCATGCAACACTGTGCCCTAATAAAATGTATGCAATTTTTTTTGTGCTATAAACAGACCATTTAAAAAAAAAACTATTTTTTAATTTCTGGTAAAAACATATCCAATAAAAATAAAATGTCTTTATAAATTTAGGTCAATATGTATTCTGCTATATATTTTTGGTAAAAATCCCAATAAGCATGTATTGATTGGTTTGCTCAAAAGTTACAGCTCCTACAAATGGCGGTATATAGACTGTTCAATTTATTTTTTATTATACTAGTAATGGGGGCAATCAGCAACCTCCATAATGGGACTGAGATATATTGCGGGGGACAATCGGACACTAACTCCCGCTTTGTGGGAACCAGTGACACTAAAACGGTGATCAGTGCTAAAAAATATGCACTGACACTGTACTAATGACCATGGTTAGGAAGGGGTTAACACCCAAGGCGATCTAAGGGTTAACTGTGTGCCCAGCTAGTGCTTTTCTGTAAACTTTGTGCTGCTATTACTAAGGGAAATGATTAATTTTTTCCCTGCTTTGCATGGAAACAAGATCCATCACTTCTCCCATCAGAACTAACCTCTGCTTATGTAAACAAGGCAGAGCTCTGCTCTGTGTCTCTCCCTGACGATCAGCAGGTGCCAGCGGACATCCACTGCTCTGCATCTGTTGATCAGTTTCTGCTGTGAATACTTACAGCTGAAGCGGCCTGACGGCGGCACGCATGTGGGCCCCTAGGTGGAGGTGCAGGATCACATTTTTATATATGTAATTTTGTACAGGAGGGACTCCCTGTAGCAGTATATTTGCTATGGGGTGGTCCTAAAGTGGTTAAATAAAAATTATGATCTTTTTTAATCTGATTTATATGTACCAGATGTAACCACCAATTGTGTGTGTGTTGTGTGTGTGTGTGTGTGTGTGTGTGTGTGTGTGTGTGTGTACACCTGTTTAAAATTGTCAGGTTTCTGTGCTGTAAAAAATTAGACAAAGATAAATCATTTCAGAACTCCACCTTTTTAATGTAACCTATAAACTGTACAACTCAGTTGAACAAATTTTAGGTGGAGGGAAGTAAAAATAAAAAAACTAAAATATGGTTGCATAAGTGTGCACACCCTTACACTAATACTTTGAAGCACCTTTAGATTTAATTCCAGCACTCGGTCTTTTTGGGTATGAGTCTATCAGCGTGGCACATCTTGACTTGGTGATATTTGCCCACTCTTCCTTGCAAAAACACTCCAGATTTGTCAGATTGCGAGGGCATCTCCTGTGCACAACCCTCTTCAGATCACCCCACAGATTTTAGATCGGATTCAGGTCTGGGCTCTGGCTGGGCCATTCTAAAACTTTAATCTCCTTCTGGTGAAGCCATTCCTTGATTTAGGATGTATGTTTTGGGTCGTTGTCGTGCTGTAAGATGAAGTTCCTCTTCATGTTCAGCTTTGTAGCAGAAGCCGGAAATGTTTTGTGCCAATATTGACTGGTATTTGGAACTGTTCATAATTCCCTCCACCTTGACTAAGGCCCCCGTTTCAGCTGATGAAAAACCGCCCCAAAGCATGATGCTGTTCTTGCTCCAAACATATCTTGGAATTATGGCCCAAAAGTTCAACCTTGGTTTCATCAGACCATAACACATTTTCCCACATGCTTTTGGGAGACTTCAGATGTGTTTTTGCAAAATTTAGCCAGGCTTGGATGTTTTGCTTAAGAAAAGGCTTCCGTCTTGCCATTCTACCCCATAGCCCAGACATATGAAGAATACGGGAGATTGTTGTCACATGGACCACACAGCCAATACTTGCCAGATATTCCTGCAGCTCCTTTAATGTTGCTGTAGGCCTCTTGGCAGCCTCCCAGACTAGTTTTCTTAATCTTTTCATCAATTTTGGAGGGACGTCCATTTCTTGGTAATGTCACTGTTGGGCCATATTTTCTCCACTTGATGCTTACTGCCTTCACTGTGTTCCATGGTATATCTAATGCCTTGGAAATTCTTTTATACCCTTCTCCTGACTGATACCTTTTTAACAATGAAATTCCTCTGATGCTTTGGAAGCTCTCTACGGACCATGGCTTTTGCTGTAAGATGCGACTAAAAAAAAATGTCAGGAAAGACCTACAAGAACAGCTGAACTTTATTTGGGGTTAATCAGAGGCTCGTTAATGTCAGGTGTGTACTGACTCCTATTTTACCGTGATTTTGAATGTGATTGCTTAATTCTGCACACTTATGCAACCACATTATTTTAGTTTTTTATGTTTACTCCCCCCCCCCCCCCCCCCCCCCCCAAAATATTTCAGGTTTTTTTTTCAATTGAGTTGTACAGTTTGCCACAGTTAAGGTGGAAAAAGTTCTGAAATGATTTATATTGGTCTAATTTTTTTTTTGTCACAGAAACCTGACATTTTAACAGGGGTGTGTAGACTTTTTATATAGTTTGTGTATGTATGTGTGTATATATCTCTATCTTCTGTAACTCTATAGTTGGTTATTTAAAATGTATTCATGCATATCCACATGCAGTTGTAAATATAGTTTTTTATACTTTACATTGTAACGCTGTTACAATTAATGATCTCAAATCCGCAAAAAAATTGGGCAACTGATTATGAAAAGAATTGTTACAGCTTTACATTTATTGTTTATTCAAGAATATTTCCAACTAATATTAATATTATTTTACAAGACTTCTATAGTGCCAACAGTTTATGCAGCGCTTTACAATATAACTGGAGACATGCTCTATGTGGTGGCTTGGGGGAGCCTTTTGCAGCTGCTGCTGTTTTTAATAATTGGCCAATTATAAATTTTTACGTGTTTTTGTTTTTGTGTTAGTAATTTTTCATTTGGGTAAAAGCAAGCTATATTATAAGAATTGTGTGTCAAGCAGTATCCTTACGGACCCCTTGTGAATTTATGCCCTGGATCTGTGTATATTTTTCAAAGGTTGAGCCTTGGTCAGGTGTTTCTTGATTATATAATAAGCCATGGGTTCTATGCTCTCACTGGTGATGATGATCAAATAACTTGGAACAGCTGGATACAGTTTGGAACAAATGGATCTATATATTAGGCTATATTTAATGTTTTTCATGGCTCCGTCCACTGTCCTGAAAAGAGGAATAATTCCTTTCTTTCTGTGATGTGATGTAATGGGTGTACTTACCTTCTGTTCTAAAAACTGAAATTTATGTCTAATGCTTATGAGATTTTAGTTATTGGGTTTACATCTAGAAAAGGAAAAAGGAAGTGTGCGCTATATCAACATGCACTTGTTTCCAGGTTGATGTTTTGGACAGACTGGGGTGATGATCTACACGGTATCTATAAGAGTGAGATGGATGGTTCCTCAGTGAAACATCTGGTCTCTGACGGAATTAAATGGCCCAATGGTATTTCCGTGGATGAAAACTGGATCTACTGGACTGAGGCTTACATGGATCGGATAGAGAGGATAGACTTCAACGGACAGCAGAGAATGGTGATCCTAGACAGCCTACCCCATCCCTATGCCATAGCTGTGTTTAAGGTAAGAACATGAGTTAGTTGTGCTCCCACCTCATTCACCTGTGTTGCACACAACAGCCTTTTCTAATAATATGTCTCTCCTGATCACAGAACCAAATCTACTGGGATGACTGGTCCCAGCTAAGCATTTTCAGGGCCTCCAAGTACAATGGTGCCCAAGCAGAGGTTCTTATTGGCCGGCTGTCTGGTGTCATGGACATGAAGATATTCTACAAAGGAAAATGGAACGGTAATCTGGCACATAGGGATCTGTTAATAGGGGACATTGGAGGGTGGTATTTCCTACACTTTTTTTGTGGAGATGGTCTGTTGAGGCATGCAGATATCACTGACACCGCTCCAAGCACACAAAGGTGAGTCAAGGGGGCACTTTGGACAGATGTTAGAAGTCCAAAAGTGTTATTACAAGTATTTATATTGAACTGACAATGTATGCAGCTCTTTACATACTGTACATTCTCATCAGTCCCTTCCCTCTTCGAGCATACAATCTAAGGTCCCTATACTAGGCCAGTTTAGACAGAAGCTAATTAGGGTACCATTGTAACTTGGAAGCAGTGTAGTAGCCTGGAGTTCCCAGGGGCAACGCACAGGGATAACATGCAAACTCCATGCAGATAAGTGTCCTGGTCTGACCTGGGCTAACCACTGTGCTACCGGAGTGATGAGAAGCTGGTACATCCTGGTGTGAACACTTTTTCAATCCTTCTTACGTCATCAGTCTTTAATCAGTTCCAAAAACCCTGATGAAGAGGGCATTTAGAAGCTCCCCAAATGTGTTTCCTTTTTTGAAAGGAAATAAATATTTTTGGAATTGCAACAAAGTGTGGCACTGTATCCTCCTCCTCCTCCCTCCTTTTTTGAGGTTTGTATTTTTGCCTGGTCCCTCTGGGGAGATAGTTCCTTGTTTGTGTTTGTTTTTTTTTTTTTTTTTTTTTTTTTTTTTTTCCCAGTGACATCCATAAAAAAAATAGATGTGGTTGTCACCTGGATAGGAAGGCACTGAGAGCTACAAGAACATTGCCATAGGTTCTAACTCTTCCTCACGCTGATATAAATCCTGCCTGTGTCCGTTGGGTAGTTTTGTCCTAGATTAAAGTGGAAGGAAAGCTGAAGTCTAATTATCCTTAAAAATATTACCTCCCCCCCTCCTACTTACCTTGCCTATCCTGTATAAAAAAAGTGTACTTGGCTATTTTTATTCTGCTCTTCTCCAGTCACGTGACCCCACAGTTCCAGCTCAGGAAGCGTTCAACAGCTGGGAATTCAAGACTTTGATATCACCCATAGGCTCCCATAGCCCTTGCAGCAGCTATTTGCTAACACTGGGGCTGTGAGATCACATGACCAGAGCGGATTCAAAATGGGTCAAAGATTATGTAAACCCAACATTTCATATTCTGGGTATGTGCCTGCTATATCATGCACGTGTATGAAAAAGTATCCTGTTCTTTGTATTGCTTCCTTTTGTGTGCAATACCTGGTGTTCTGCCAGTTCCACTGCTTTCCTATCAAACACTGACCATACTGGGCATGCAAGCACTGTGTGGTCAGTTTGCTGTCTTTTGTTGGGTATTTTCTTCTACTTTAAGTTCATGTTTGGTGGAAATGTCGGAGAAGAAGCAAGGTCTGGTGGAGAGATATGTTCTTTGGCTTGCCCTTGTGGTTGTGTCCAAGTTGTAATAAAGCCTTTTGAAGCGATGGGGGAAAAAAAGGAGGGTTGGATGTGCTGCTTTCTACGTTTTTGAGTTATTTCTTCTTTCCTGTACAGGTGAGAATGCCTGCTCCTCCATTCCTTGCAGCCTGCTGTGCTTGCCTAAAGCCAACAAAGGCCGAGTATGTCGATGTCCAGATGGAGGGAAAGCCCAGATGTCACCCACCGGGGAGGTGCAGTGTGACTGCCCACATGGGTACCAGCTGAAAAACAGAACCTGCGTCAAGATAGGTGAGTTCTTTGTGTTTTGAAAAAAAAAACCACCAATCCCAGCATAATTGTTTTGGGTGTCTGTTTATAGATGCAGTGGGAATTTGAACTGATATGGTGCTTTGTTTTTCCCCTCCAGAGAACAGGTGTCTGCCCAGCCAGTACCACTGCAGTAATGGAAACTGTATCAGCAGTATCTGGCAGTGTGACAACGACAATGATTGTGGAGACATGAGCGATGAGAGAGACTGCCGTAAGTTACCTCCACGCGATCTTGCTGCTTGAGTGGGTGGTTCTGCGCTGTGAACCATTCGGGCTTTGTTTTACACAGTGCTGCCAGTTTGTCATGATTCATGTACTGGGAGGTGGAGGAAGTATTTTGAAGCATCTTGGAGGAAATGTCAGCAGTGTGAGGCTTTGTGCTGTGCCTATGCAGAAGTAGTACAGGAAGATGTGGAGCTGCATTGGGGAATAGTGCCATTAACAATAATGAAGTGATAAAGCGAGCGCTAAACTTAATTGATGGAATAAGCAGCTGAACACACTAAAAGGTGAACCACAATGCCTTCAGATAACAGAGTAAATATTGGTGCAGTGCTAGAAGTTGAACAAAAAGCCTAATGTATGTCTTACAGACGCATGTATGAGATAAATGCGTTATGCATATATATAGTAAACGTGAATAGTAACAAAAGTACACTGGAGGTGAACGAATGATTAGTGTGTGAATGTTCATGAAAAACGCATGATCATGACATGCGTAGAAGTATTATAATGTCCAAATATCTAAAGATCACGTGCAATCTTCAAATAACATGTATGGAGTCCCAGAATGTTATTTCTCCTTGGGATGATGTAATAAATATACAGAGTGCGCACTTACCAGATGCGCTAATTGAAAGCGCATTGTATATTGTACTCCTGGTATGCAGGGGTCCCTCAAGTATGGATAAAGGTGCAGCCTGGGGGTGGATGATCTTCCTCAAAGTGCTAAGGTACGATGGTCCGTATAGATAGCTCAACCTCTTCAGGGTGCTGGAACACCAACTGGAAGTGGTGTATTTGGCCTTGAGTCCAAATACACAGAGACAGACTTCAGCTTGACTATCTGAACGCTGTATGGGACCTCTGTGTGAGGTCCCGATCATGTGATCACTGATTGGCCAATCAGTGATCACATGAATAGGTGTAAGCAAGATGTCACTTCTGACATCATTGCTTACTACATGTCAAATCTGTGAATGATCACAGAGATCACATGGTACAAGGCTATTCACAACAGCCTTGTTCCATGTGACCAGCTGTTACCAATCACAGCTCACACAGTATCCTTTCTCAATGGCTGCAAGAAGCCAGAGAGAAGGAGAAATGATTGTTGTTACACCCAAAAAGGCTGTAAAAGCAATCCGTGTAAAAAAAACAAAAAAAAAAAAAAAAAAAAAAAAAACACCTGTCCTAATCAGCACTCCTGAATCCTGAGGATACGCCTACTAATACATTGTAAACAAAACATAAAATTATTGTATCAAAAACATTATCCTTTTTATTTTCTTTGTTTTTCTGATATCAGACCACAATTTATCCTACTGTTTTTTGACTGCGTCATTCGCAAATTCAAGGCAAAGGGCAAAGGCCTCGTGGCGTGCCACTGCTGTGCGCTATCCCAGGTGGGAGAGAACCCCCTGAGGAACTGAGAAAAGAATGCTTGCCAACAATAAGACCACACTGCGAATAAGGCTCCGGCCAGAAGAGTCGAGCTTACAATGGTTTTATGTTTTGTTACAATGTATTAGTAGGTGTATCCTCAGGATTCAGGAGTGCTGATTAGGACAGGTGTTCTTTATTAACGAACTCCTATATATAGACAATACTTTTGTGATTTTCTTTGTGATGATTAAGCACAAGATTGCGTGAAACGTGGTTAACAGGTCCTGTGTTCATGTCCTGGTGTTTTGTGTGTCCTATGTATCAATAAATATACACTGATAATATATACAATTCATCTATCCTCCGGTGTGCGGCTGATCCTTCTTTCTGTTGCATCGTGTGTAGTGGAGAGCCAGAGCCTGCACCTGTCGTGGATTGATCTGGATTGTTTGCTTGAGCGGTATACCTGTTCCTTCTATTAGCTTTGTGGCTATGCGATGTAACAGATGTGTGAATCGGAAGACTGTCTGAACAGAATTGGCCATTGCGGGTCACATCTTTGTATTTTGGCTGAATACACACTATTCTCCATGGTTACAGAATACTCCTGTATAAGACGCGCTGGTATTAACATGAACAATGTTGGTGTGCTGTGCTTTGACCTGTAATTTTTTTTTTTTTTTTTTTTCTTTTAGCAACCACGTCATGTGACCCAGATACGCTGTTCAGATGCCAGGAATCGGGGACCTGTATCCCACTGTCCTATAAGTGTGACCTGGAGGATGACTGTGGAGACAACAGTGATGAAAGCCACTGCGGTGAGTCATTTGTGGATTTACCCTGGCTGCAGTGCTGTATGGAAACTCATTCACCTGTATAGCACCAACAGATTGCTCAGGGTGTCAGTTCTCGGGTCATTCACATCAGTCCCTGCCTCTTACAGCTAAAATCTGGCTTTCCCTTTAGTCTTGCACATTTGTACAGGATACTCTCCTGGACTGAACTTGCTCTGATTTCACTGCGCACTGTTCTCACAATCTGCATTAGAAGCTGTTGCAAGTCAGAGCCTGCCCCATTTCTTGGCTAAAGGACACTCAACGTCATCTAGCCCTTTACTCCTCCCCAGCCTTACTGTCCCTGACCCACCTCTTTCATTCATTGGATTTCAGTTCTTTGAGTCATGGTGGGCTCAGCATCACATGTGGGGGATCCCTAGGACAGTCTTACGATGCACGGACGTCTGCACTAACTTGGAAAGAAAGTTCAACTTCCGGTAAACTGTAGGATAAGGTGGCACAAACACTGGGAGAACATACAAGCTACATGCAGATAGTGTCTCTGGTGTGAAATGAATCCAGAACTCCAGTGTTGCAAGAAATGCTTACAGGCAATCTACTTACTTTATAGGGTAACAAAGTTCCTAAATATAAAGCTGATTTGTCTTGTTGCTCTTGGAATAAAATGTAACAGTAACTTTACCCATCTATAAATTATGAGCATAGTCAAATCTTATATTCTTTCTTTACATAATCCAGAGGCACACCAATGTAAGGACGATGAGTTTAACTGTAGCTCCGGTATGTGTATCCGCCAGTCCTGGGTGTGTGATGGGGACAACGACTGCAGGGACTGGTCCGACGAGGCCAACTGCTCAGGTACTAGTGCTTTTGTCACAGCCCTTGCTTGCCTCATTGCCATCTTTTGTGTCTTCCATGTTACAAGTGTGGTTGTCTGTCTTTGTGGTGGACCTGTCATTAAACATTTGTGGACAAAGAGCCTACTACAAAATTGCACAGGGTGTAGTATTCCCTGTCCTGCTGCTCTCTCACAATTTATGATAATTCCCTGCTGTCAAAATGACAGCCGGGAATTGCTGTATAGATAAAGCAACTGTAGAAACTGCTGTAGTGAGAAAAAAAAATGGACATCTGACAAAGGCCTTGTTCACACAGGCGTACGGCAGTGTGTGCCTGTGTGAGGGTTGCTTTTGCCCACATGGGGTTGCACAGGTGTTCTGTACATCCCCGTGGAAGCAGCGGGATGCAGCAGCTGTACAGACACAGATTCTGCTCCTAGTTTGGCATTGGTGCCGTTGCAGGGCCCAGAACTCACACTATATTTATCAGCATTAGTTTATAAAACAAAATAGTTTGTGAATATCAAGACCTGTTTAAAAATACACAAATTATGAAATTAGGATTCTTGTATAAAGCATTGCAAAGTTATTTGTGGCACTAAAATAGGATTACCAAAGTACAACCAAAACCTGCATATTTAATGAGCTAACATGGCTGCCCCCAAGTGCATAAAAACTTTAAATGATCACTTTACAAAAATTCCTGATTATTTTGGACAGCATCATGATACCTGTTATTTTGGATTGAATACATATATGGTCTTCATTGGCTCTCCTTCTTTGCCAAGCAGATGTAAATCAGGGAAGGAACCTGTGCTCCCATCATACAGTGGGAGTGCCCCCATTCTGCTCATTGTAAGCAGTGGCATTATTCTGCAGAACGAAGTATAACGTGAAAGCAGAGACAGAAAATAACTCGGTGTCTGGCACCTGGTGGCGTATTAGCAGCTTTCCTATTGTGAGGAAAGAGAAACAAATTATGCGGTTTCTCCATTTTAAAAACAAGTTAAGCTCATAGTATTAATTTTAGTAAAACAAAAAATAGGATAATGCACTCCTTGAATCAGAACATCAATTTATATTAGATAAGTTTGGGTTTGTTCAAGAAAAATCCAGGAATAATACATTCTAAATGAAAGGTAGCACTTCAAGTAACTAGCTGTTTAACTGTCGTGCATTTACTAAAGGAAGCGTCAAATCTAGACATAATATATTGTACTACATGCACAAGATCTTTCCACGGTTCCTCAATCTAGACAGAGGCAGACTCTGCTACAAACACCATATATTTTTTCATTTGAACAGGAAAGAAATCCTGACAAAGTACAGCACTTAACAAACCTCAATATGTATGCATAGATTCCAGACAGAACCTTCAGCTGGCATGCAGATACTCAGGATCAAGTGGAGGAGGGAATCACAGCATTTAAAGGTCCCTGAAACATTGTGATTCCCACAACAGCTGAAGGTTCTTTCTGATATCTTTCCAGATATTTTCTGTGCTTTTTTCCCTGGATTTCTTCTGCTCTGATGCCAGGCTCGGGCTGATATCCTCTCCATGTGTATTACTATTTAATTACTGTACTTTTTCCCCTGGATCTCCTTCCTGCTCTAATGAAAATGTATATGGTGCTTGTGGCTGGGAGTCTGCTTCTGTCTAGATGAGTAACTGGGGGGGAGATCTTGTGCATGTACTACAATCACCACCGCTGGTTCCTGGGTGTTTGCATGCCAGCTGAAGGCTTTTGGGTGTCTATCCATAGGTTTCCTTCATGTTTTTATTGTAAAAATTTCTAAAGTCATTCCAAAAAAGGAAAAGAGATGCAGCATACACAGGTAGCCAGGTAATAACTCAACATTGGCGAATAAGACCGTGTAACATTATTCCAAAATAACTGCAATAAAACCAAGTAGGGCATGAAGCTAACCCATGTTACCAATGTGGGATTATAGAGATCCAAATTAAGCTCCCCTGTGCTCCAGGGGACTTCTGCAACAGTGCTATGTCGTACAGCGATGCACAGCATTATTACAAGAGAAGAAACTTACACCTTGAAGGGGACACTCCCCGAAAGCTTGTCCTCAAAATTGTATGTTCGTGCAAATAAAAAAAGTATCACGGACAGTACTCAGTTGTTTCTGTCTCAAATGCACTAATACGGCTACAATCGCCTCATACAAGAGAGAAGAAAATTAAATAAGAGCCAAGAAAGAGGAGGATAAGGGGAAGGAGGAAAGGGACCGGGGCGGACTGACCATTTGGAAACTCGGGCACTGCCTGAGGGCTGGGGTCAGTAGGGGGCCCCATGAGATGCCCCTGGTACCTTTTTCATAGGCTTTTTTGAGTTTGGGCAAGGACACAGGGGCCCCATTATCCCCTATTACCCGGGGGCCCCATGAGTTGTCAGTCCGCCTTTGCCAGGGACCGTACAGCCACCTTACCTACCATGTAGTCCAAAGAGTACAAGTTTTGCGTTCAATCTGCATATAATGTGCCCATGGACCCCAAACTTTTTCAAAGCGACTATTCGTGTCCCGATTTAAATACATAACGTTTTCTCATTGGGACACAGTCTATCAGTAAGTTTTATTGTTGTACTTTGGAGTGCTGCCCATTATTTAGAAATCACAGCAGTGCCTTGGACAGGTGCTACGTGGACAAGAAGTGCACAGAAATAATTTCCTGCTTGTGCACTTTAAATTGGAGTCACTGTTGTATGTTCAATTGCATGATAAACATAATATTTTGTAGTTTACAAAGTGAAAGTAGTTTCCAAATTGCCACATTAGAATTCTGCCCCTCCCCAAAGCCCTAATCTAGTGTATGTAAGTTGCCCCAACATGAAGCATCTTGTTGACTGCTCTCTTGTGTCTCCAGCTGTCTCTCATACCTGTGAGCCGTCCAGCTTCCAGTGTCACGATAGTCACTGCATTCCTCAGAGGTGGGTTTGTGACGGCGACTCCGACTGCCAGGACGGCTCTGATGAAGATCACAGCATCTGTGGTAAGTGAAGAGAATCCTGTGAGATGTTCAGCTCACACCACTCACATCTATGTTCTCTTCCACTGTCTGTTATCTGATCCTCTCAGAGCTTGCAGTCACTGGACTTTGGGTGGGATAATCCTTTCCCTTAGTACTGTAATCTGGTGTGCAATTTGAGGCTGCTGTAACTCGTGGGTGGGGCTTTGTAGTTAAGGGCGGTCTGTATGGAAAGGAGAACAAGAGCAAATAGACAGGAGCTAGGAGCAGAGGGGAAATCAGAGGTGGGGGTGTAGGGAGGCTGGAGAACACACAGGTTAAGGTAGCTTCTGAACCCACACATACAGGGGTGGACTGACCATTTGGAAACACGGGCACTGCCCGAGGGCTAGGAGTCAGTAGGGGCCCCATGAGATGCCCCTGGTACCTTTTTCATAGGCTTTTTTGAGTTTGGGCAAGGACACAGGGGCCCCATGATCCCCTATTGCCCAGAGGCCCCATGAGTTGTCAGTCCGTGTGTGTGTGTATGTATATGTATATGTGTATATATATATATATATATATATATATATATATATATATATATATATATATATATATATATATATATATATATATATATATATATATATATATTCGCTGCTGGTGAGGCAACTTCCCATCTCCAAGCACTCCTCCTCCCTCCTTCTCCATCAGCTGCACTCCAATTAATCCACTTTTTGTTAGGAATACTATAAAACAAAATGACACAGTGGACATACAGTGCGGGACAAGCAAGTAAACATGTTTCACGCTAAATGCAGCGCTTAATTATTACCCACAGCTGCTGTACCCAATAATATGGATCTTGGTGAAGGATGGTTAGGATCATTTGTATGTGTGTGGGTGTACTGACAGGGCAATTTCAGCACCAATTTCTCAGCATATTTTAGACTAACATTGTGGTTTATTACGTTGTACTGTATGTTTTAAAACCAGAAGTTTAAGTGAAATATATTTGATTGGTGTTGGGAATGGTCCTGTAATCTATTTTTCATTAAACTGTTTCTTACGCATCCTTGTGTTGGTTTATGTAAAACTGCAACTACATATTGTCATTGTTGCTCTTATTTGTTTGCCAGTAGCACACTCCGCCTGCGTTGCAGACGATCACTCGTTTCCATAATTGACCAATGCCGTTGTGCCTGTTCTGGTCTGTGCCTTTTATTTTAATGAAAATCTCCAATAAAGTATTAACCACTTGCCCTCTGCCCTATAGCAGAAGTACTACTACAGGTTGGCACGGCTGCAAAAATCACTTGTGTGTGTGTATATATACGTGATTTACACTTGTGGGTAGGGGGCGCTTTCTACCCTACCCGTGATGCTATTGGCTGCTGGGTATGTCATTCATCGGGTCCCGGACGGTGATTGTCGGCAGGGCTGAGGGGGAGAGATCTATGTGTAAACACATCTCTCTCCTCTCAGCATAGACATGCTGCTTTGTATCTCTTCACAGCAGAGAGATACAAAGCAGCATGTCACCCACGTAAAACAGCACACAATGTAAAATACACAGTTAACCCTTTGATCGCCCCAGATGTCAACCCCTTCCTGCCCAGTGACAGTACAGTGTCAGTTCTTTTTATTAGCAATGATCACTGTATTAGTGTCACTGGGGATGTCAGTGACAGTTCCCACCCAGTGTCAGAATGCCTGCTGCAGTCCCGCTATAAGTCGCTGATCGCCGCCATTACTACTATAAAAAAAATTCCAGTATATATATTGCCATTTGTAGACACCATAACTTTCACGTAAACCAATTAATATACACTTCTTGCTTCTGTTGTGTGTTTTTTTTTTTTTTTGTTTTTTTTTTAGCAAAGCCACGTAGCAGAACACATTTTTATTTGGATATGTTTTATAGCAAAAAGTCAAATGTGTGGGGTTTTTTTTCTCAAAATTGTCAGGTTTTTTTTTTTTATAGCGCAAAAAAAAATAAACGCCGAGGTGATCAAATACCACCGAAAGAAAGCTCTATTTGTGGGGGGGAAAAAGGACATAAATTTAATTTATGTATAGCGTTTCATGACCACGCAATTGTCAAAGTAATGTAGCGCCGTATTGCAAAAGGGGGGTAAATCATCTGGAGGGCAAGTGGTTAAAACAGAAATTTGTTTCTTACTATGTTTTTTGCTTCGTTGTAATGTCCTCTGCGAGCTCTTAAACCTCTCCTTTATCTCCCTCACTTCCGTTTTGTAATGAGCAGTGCATGTTGGTTGCAGTCATGTTCACTGCACATGACAGTTAAAAAATAAATGTGGCAATTTATTTTGCTTAAGTGAGATCCTAACAGTCTTATCTCCTTACAGAGAAGAAGTGTAATGGTTTCAGCTGCAGAAATGGGACATGTATCCCTCTGGGCAAACACTGCAATGGTGTGATGGACTGCCCTGACGGTGAAGATGAGCAAACCTGCGGTGAGTAGAATTTTACAGTATTTCTGTCATGGTTTGCCATGGGTTTGATTCCTCGGCGCCCTCTTCTGGCAGGTATTGACATTTCCCTGGACGCTTAACCTCTTCAGCCTCTTGGCTGCTGGGCCTTGACACCAAGTGGCTGCATATTTGCGTACCATTTGCACACAAACATGCTGAGAGCGCGCGCTCCCGGCACATGTGTCGGCATCCCACGGTAAGGTCCTGATCTCTCCTTGTGATTGGGACCTTTCCGATCATGACTGCCGTGACAGCCAAGCATGGCGATCACATGACCCTAAACCCTGCCCCGCCTCCCGGCATCAGAAGCCCCTTAACCTCCCTGGCGGTTTTCCCGAGTGTAGCTCGGGGTAAAATTTCTATACCACAAGCGGTAACCCCGAGCTACACTCGGGCTTACCATGCGGCGCTGCTCTGGGGGTCCCTGCAGCACTTACCTTGTCCTTCGTTCCCACGATGTGTCCCCTGCAGCGTCCCCGGCCATCTCCTCCTGGCCGATGCCGGCATCCGGCTTCTGTGTTCCGGTCCCCGTGACGTCGGGACGTACGGGCGCCACCGGCGGCGGGAAATTTAAAAAAATTTAAAAAATGTTTTTTTTTTTTTTTTTTTTTTCAATTTTAAATAGTAAAACATTGCTGTTTCATCCCATTTCACATACATATTGTCCCTAGTGCTTTGTCCTGTGCCCTGCCTGCGTTTTGTCTGGTCTTTGTGCCTGGAAACTTAGAAAAGTCCATGGCGTCCAAAAAGCGTCCCTTTACGTCAAAAGCGGTTTTAGACCGGCTACAGAACAGCGATAGTAAATCAGAACCACTTACAGAATTGAGCGATAATGATTTGTGGGGAAATTTTCCTAAAAATTACAGCCTACAATAAAAAACTATTTCCATGTGAAAAAATGGTACCGCTTTCAGCACAAAAAAAACGGAAGGAATCATACCGCTAGGGAGGTTAAAGGGCCAGGAGGCGTTGCCGTGAAGGAGTTAGAGGGTCACTGCATCAGAACAGCACAAACCAAAAAAGCTATTGAATTCATTTTGAATATTCAAATCAAACTCTGTGATCCGTCCATGTCTCCACACTTCATTTTGCTGAGAAATCACTTTTAAAATGCCCCCTATCATTTCTGCCCATGGCCATCTTAACTATGGGCAATTCATGTAGCATTTGCTTCCTGGAATCAATCTGCCATTCGCTCAGGCAGGAGGGTGTGCTTAGCTGAGAAAATCCCTCCTACCTCCTGAAGATTCCTGGGATGTATGACCTCATTTGCCTAGGCCTGGAAACCAGGAAGTAACTGAAAATGCAAAAAAAGTGTATAGAATATACTTAATGATTTACTAATATTAGGGGCATAAAATATAAAAATAGTCAATGTTGATTGAAACAGTGAAGTTTCTCTTTAAAGAGAGAGCCAGTGTTTTCTTTCACTTTAAAAAGTTAGTTTGGGCTAGCTTGGTTGAAATGGCAGAAGGCTGTGGTCACAGCGTGCGCTGACATACTGTGCAACAAACTTATGCTGCATACGGTAAGCCTTGATTACTGTGTGCAGCATAGGTTAGAGGAAAGAGTCGGTCAGGAAATAGTCATTTGCAATCTCTGCCATTCAGGAAGGGTCTTATATGTTTAACAATGAGTAAAAGGTGATTGGCTGAGGTGGAGAGGTGGGCAAATGGTATTAAAAGCTCCACCTCCATTAGAGAACACACACACCAAAAAATAGCCGATACAGGGGACTGTGTACTGCAGATGTGAGGGGGAGGGGGGGCCTGACAGAGGCAGGAGAGGAGGAGAGTATACAGTGACTGGCTGTCACTATAGGTCATTGCCAGTTTTTAAATGTCATTACCGGCTTTTTTTTTTTCCTTTACTATAGCTCACAAAATGAGCAGTCACTTCCCCCTAGTTAAAAGAAACAAAGTTTCCTTTTAGTTTCTTTACTCCAGGTAAAACGTTTCCTTTAGCTCCAGGAAAAGTGACAGCTAATTCTCTGAGCTATAGTGAAGAGAAAAAAAAACTGATAAATACATTTAAAACAGCACTGACCAATAGTGACAGCCAGTTAGGGAGCCTCTCTGTATACACTGCTCCTCTCCTGCCCGCTCCTTGCACGCACTGCCCCCCTACAAAGAGGACCTGTCATTTATATGCTATCACATAGAGGACTATTAGTCCCCTATGTGATAGCAATAAAATAAGTTAAAAAAAAAAAAAATACGTATGTATATATGAAAGTAGAAAAAAATTTGGAGCCTCCCCCCACCCCCACATACGCAGACATTTTGGTTCAGTTTTCGGCCACATGCATTCTGAATTTTTTAGTATCGGTTTCAACACCAGAATTTTCATTTTGGTGCGCCACTAATATTTAGCTCTTAGCCTGGCATTGAGCTTTAATTTTACTTGCAAGTGTGTCGATTTTTCTCTCCTATCCTAATGTGTATCACTGTATAATGTCTGTCATTTAGAGCCCCTGTGTACACGTTACATGGATTTTGTGTGTAAGAACCGTCTACAATGCTTGTTCCATGCCATGGTGTGTGACGGAGAGGCACAGTGTGGTGATGGGTCTGACGAGGATCCTGCATATGCTGGATGTTGTAAGTAAAATACAGTTCTAATCATTCTTTCACTGCTGTCAGATTATTATTATTATTATTATACAGTATTTATAAAGCGCCGATAGTTCGCTCAGCGCTGTACATTACAAAGGGGGACAGAACATGTGACAGAACAATACCAATACAATGCAAAACATGAGGGGATCGAGGGCCCTGCTCTTTAGAGCTTACAATCTAGGAGGGAGGGGATGGTGGCACAGGAGGAGATAGCTGTGGGGGATGGAGTGGTAGGAAGAGTGGAGGAGGTCGGCAAGTTAGCAGGGGGTGGCATCATTGTTTATTACTGTGAACTCTGTGGTACAAGGCTATTCACAACAGCCTTGTACCATGCGATAAACTGTGACCAATTACAGCTCTCGCAGTATTTCTCAATAGCTGCAGGAATGCAGCCAGAAAGAGTGAGAAATGATTGCTTTTACAGCCAGGATGGCCGTAAAAGCAATCGCCATATTAGAAAAAAAAAATCCTGATCAACCCCTACAAGTAGTACAGTGTCACTTTGGTGACACAGTACTGCTAGGGTGAGGAGGTTATGTTAAAACACATAAAAAATGGTAAAAAAAACAAAATCCGTAATATAATTTTTTCCTTTTTTTTTTTTTTTTTTTTTTTTTTTTTTTTTAATTTAGTACAACAAAGAATAAAATTTTTGCCTAGATTAAGAGAGATTTATTTATTTTATTCAAATTTTAGGTATTTTTTCATTTTATATAGCAAAAAATAAAAAAAAACCCAGTGGTGATTAAATACTACATTGGTTGACAGCCTGCTTTAGGCAGGCATGCAGATGTAAAGGGGAATAGGCACATCTTACACGCACAAGTGGGGGGGGGGGATAATTAAAAGCCAAAAGGGGGGGAAGGTGTTAGCAATTAGCTAAATATTGGACAATAGGTAAAAAACTAAAACAAAACGGGGAAAGACTGGCAATATGTCAGCAAGGGCTGATAAAAGGGACAGTAAAATAATTTTTTTTTTATTATAAAACATGAAAACATAAATGATATCTCAGCAAAGGCTGATAAAAAATATTAGGGACAACCTTTATTAAGACTGTTTGTTAAAATATAGGGGAAAGAAACTGTCCCTTTAAAATGCTAAAAACTGAAACTGTCTATACCTGTCTGTAAGCAGGCTACAATCAATAAAAAATTCATATAAATACATAAACCAATATAAACTTGATAAAAAACATTAATATACCAATGAAGGAGGGCTAATAAATATTTAAAAATTGGAGCATGCATCCAAAGGTTGACCAAGCAATCCATGAATGGCATAATTCATAGTGATAAAAGTGAAAAGTTCATATAGAATCAGATACACAAGAAAGGGAATATTCCAATGTTATAATGTATAATCATGCGTATCAGTATTTAAATCCCACTGACATATAGCGATGTTCAGGAAAGCGAATGACTCTAACAGATCTCATATAGAATCAGATAGGGTATATATAGAAGCAGATACCCACAACTAGCCAGATTAATCTAATATGCCAAATATAAATATCTAAAAATTACAAAAGTACCAAATAAAATGTCTGAAAAAACTCAAATAGAAAGGTGTACACGTTGGTACAATATTAAGATACTCCAGGGGTGAAATGTATAAGATCAATATAGGATAGGTAATCTAAAAAAAGTCACTATAATGTGGATATCATTGGTCTGTAGAATATGCAGATAAAGTGGTATCAGAAAGAATCTATTTTTAACTGTTGTCGATGAAGCAGTTGATGTTGACCTCAATATTATGGCCCATACGCGTTAAAGTTTTCATGTTGTATATTCATTTAGTTTCGGCTTGTGCTACAAGCCTTTTCTTGTTAGATTCTTTCCAGTGGTTATCTATGATATCTATTCCTACGAATTTTAAAGATGATGGATCCCTGCAATGGTGGTATCTATAGTGTTTTGATAGTGTTCCTTGAATCCTCTTTTAATATTATACCCATGTTCCCGACATCTGTCACAGTCTTCTCGTAGTTCGACCTATATACTGTTTATGACAGGGACATTCGAGCAGGTACACAACATAACGACTGTTACATGTTATGAAGGTAGGTATATCATAGGTTCTCCCAGTGGCAGTGGACTTGAATGTATCGATGTTTCTAAGAGGATTCTTACTTTGTAGACAAATTACACATTTCCTGCATGGGTAAAACCCTTTCATTGAATTAAAAAAGGTATGTTTAAGGGGAGGATCTATAATAGGAGATATTTTGTTTCTTAAAATGGGAGCTTTTCTAAAAATGATTTCAGGTTTCTCCGGAAGCATAGTGGATAATACCGGGTCTCCACTCAAAATATTCCAATTCTTATTAATGATTTTGCTGATGGTTTTGTATTGCACCGAAAAAAGTTATAAATGGACAAAATTTCTCGGTTTTCTGGTTGTTAGTTGTGGACAACATTAGATCCCTATTGAGACCAGCTACCAGCTCCATATCTGCAACTACTTTAGCTTCGTCATACCCTTTCTCAGTTCTTATAAGCCTTTCCTTTGTCTTCTCTCCTGCCAGCACGAGGTCCGGAGTTTAAAAAGAGTTGTGATCCACTGAGCTTCTCGTGTCAGAATGGCGTCTGTATTAGCCTGGAGTGGAAGTGTGATGGGATGGACGACTGTGGAGACTACTCGGATGAAGCAAACTGCGGTAACCATGCATCTCTTCATATAAGCCTTTCATTGTTTGTAATTCAAGCCAAAACTTTTTGTTTTGGCTGCAGTAGGGAAGGACTTAACACCTCTACCACCATGTTACTGCTGTCTGTTGGGGAGCTTTCCCCCCTCGCTTCCCATCCTGGAAGCACAACAGGAAGTGAAATGAAATCCCTAAAGCCCATCTCCAGGTAAATACTAATTGAATCCAATGAATGAAAGGGTCAAGCCAGGAACAGTTGGGCTGGGGAGAAAAGAACTAAATGATGCTGGATGTCCTCCAGCTTGGCAATGAGACAGGCTGTAGCTCACTTGCTGAAGCTTCTAAGGGTGAGAAGCTCAGTGTGCAGTAAAATCAGAGTAAGTAGTTTCAGTACAGGAAAGGAACCAGTACAATATTGCAAAGGCTAAGGTCCAAATTTAATTTCTTCCAGTGTGTACCTTCCTAGTTTCATTGAAACCTGAGCAATGTGTTGAGGCCCTTTGTTCGTTACACCACCTGTCATTTTTTTGCTTGTAGCATCCATTTCAAGATTCTGTCTTTCACCATCCTGTATTGCAGTGTAAATGAGGAAATGTGGTTGGTTTGGGGAAATAAAATCAATATTTTTCCTACATGTTAGCACAGTTGTGTGGAGTTCTGCTATATGTAAATTCTGCAGCCTGTCATGTATCTCATGGACATCCTATTTCCCATTTTCTACTCCAGAGAATCCTACAGATACCCCTGCCTGTGCCCGCCTCTACCAATTCCAGTGTGAGAACAGGCACTGTATTCCCACACGGTGGAAATGTGACGGGGAGAATGACTGCGGGGACTGGTCAGATGAGACGGACTGCGGGGGTAAGTTCTGTTTTTGAAGTCTTTGTGTTTACCAGAAGATGAAAGATCTAGTAACAGAAGGATCTGGAGCACCCCATAGAGGGGTGGAAAAACAAAGGTGGTCGGGTACCATGCTATGGAGAGCTGTCTGTTGGAGAACTGAAGGTAGCTTTTGACCTGATGGACACCGCCTAGAACTGAATTATCTCTCTTGCATGTAGCGTCCCTTAGGTTCCTGGCTTTCTTTCTTGCTTTTCATTCATGCTTTCACCATATACAGCGTTGACTGTATTCTACCAATGATACAACAGTATAAGTACTGTATCTGTATGTCCTTATGTAGAAATGTTTGGTTTTTATAGAGAGTATTCCACAAACCACTGTGAGACCTTCCACGTGTCCCGCCAACCACTTCCGCTGTGACAATGGGGTCTGCATCATGAACACCTGGGTGTGTGATGGCTACAAGGACTGTGTCCATGGCTCTGATGAGGAGGGTTGCCCTACAACTGGTATATTAATTTTCTACTAAAGTAATGTAACCATATTAATAGTGGTCTTTAATATGTTCATGAAAATCAAGCACATTTTTTGATGAAAACGTTTCTTTTCTCCTTTAAGTTGATCTTCTGTGGAGCAGAGCTTGGACTAAATTCAGAAACTCACACTGCTTGCACTTATTTTTTTTTTTTTTTTTTTATTGAAATGTACATGTATACATTTTAATGTATACATGAAATGTTAATGAATACAGAGCTGCATTAATTTGTGTCTTTTATATTTGCCATGAGATGATCTTTAATTCTCTGCCCCCCTTCTGCTGTCTCTTTTCCCCCCTCCCCTCCCCTATCCATCCTAGTTAAATTAGTATTAAAGGCAATTAAAAAAAATGTTCTACTTGCCTGCTCTTTGCAATAGTTTTGCACAGAGCGGTCCCGTTCCTCGCTGGTCCACCTGGCCCCTCCCTCATGCCAAATGCCCCCAGAGCAGGTAGCTTGCTATGGTGGCACCCAAGCTGGCTCGCTTCCGAGCTGCTGTTTTGTGTGTCCATTCAGTCCTTGCCCCCTCTCTCCCATTGGCTCACTGGCTGTGATTGACAATGGCTCAGTCAATGAGGCGGAAGAGTCCGCGGAGAACATAGGCTCTCGTGCACATTGCTGGACAGAGATTGGGCTCAGGTAAGTATTAGGGGGGCTGGAGCGGGGGGGGGGGGGGGGGGAGATGATGCTTTATGCATAGGATACATGAAGTTAAAAACATTGAGCCTTTACAACCACTTTAAGGTATACAACAGCCAACATTCTGACACCATGAAAAAAAAAAAGTGACCCATCCAAACCTGGTTTCTAGTGTCAGCTGTGTGGGCTGTGAATAATGCATTCTGGGCAGGTTTTAATTGGAGCACTGCAGAAATAGGTGCAGCCAGACTCTATCCAGTGTTTGCGATGTCCATTCTTCAGTATGGCCATACTCTAATAGATATGGTATTAAACTACACAGGAAGCTGCAGGAAATGTAAATTTCAGTTATCACAAAGAAAATAGGTTGGGTTGGGTTGAGGGAGGAGCTTTTATTGAATCTAGAATTTTCCTTGTTGACATTTTAATAACGTGTAAATATAACATTACGGCTGATATATGTCCTTGCCATCAAACAGTGAACTCCACAGTGCCTACTACCACATCACACAGCCGCTGCAACCTCTTCCAGTTTGAGTGCCAGAAGTCAAAGTACTGTATACCAAAGTGGAAGCAGTGTGACGGTGTCAGAGATTGCCAAGATGGAACAGATGAGCTTCGCTGCCGTAAGTCATGGATCTTCTGCCACTGCATAAACCTGAACCCTCAAAGTGTACCTGTCAGTTATAAAAGGTGGACTTGTTTGATATGTTTTTGAACAAAAGCAGAATATCAGTTGCTTATTTTTGTGAATTTTGTTGTAAGACCCACTGTTCCAGCAAGGTTCCTCTGTAAAGTTCTGTACTACTATAAGAGTATCAGAACTGGGAAGTATATACAAGGAACGTTGAAGTCAAACAGGGACTTTAATTTTACAGATATAAAAAAAGGGATGCTAGCGTGGAGGTACTACATGAAGTAGTAGGTGGCAGGTTTGTCCTATTACTGATAGGTGGCACACATGTTATGGGCCAGTCCAGAGGCCAATAATCAAGATTGTAGACAACAGTGTGGGGTCATGAAGTTTTTTTGTGAACAAAGGCATAAAACCTGCGGGTATCTGCGGAAGATTTCAAGCACAGTACGGCCACCATATATGTATGTATTGGGATAGGGAAGCAGAGCTGTCATGGGACCAGTATATGCTGGCTCAAGGGACAGCAAGGCAGACAGAACATCATAAAGGGCCAGTGTGTTGGCTCAAGGTACAGGAATCCAGAGAGGACTTAATAATAGTGTGTGTGTTTTGGGATAAGCTGCAGGGAGGAAGAGAGCATGTGACCTGGGGCCAGTGTGTGTGTGTGTGGTGTTGGGTCAAGGGACAGGAAGGCAGAGAGGACGTCATATGGGGTTAGCTCCAGTACTAGAACCGGTAAATAAGAAACAGGTCTGTACATCATATTTGACTAGTGTGTGTGTTGGGTCAACATACAGGGAGGCAGAAGAGATCATATGGGGCAATTTTGCACACGCTGGGCAAAGGTGCAGGGAAGCAGAGAGGATGTGACTTGGAGCTAGTATGTTGGGCCAAGGGACACTAAAGCAGAGAAAATATGACTTTATCCCATTTTATATGTGGTCAAGGGACAGTGAAACAAGGCAGACATCAGCTGAGGTGTGTGTGTTCAAAGACAGGGAGGCAAAAAGGACATTATTTGGGACTAGAGCATGTTGTTGAGAAACAGGGAGGCAGAGAGGGTGTCATCTGTTGGCAAGAAACATGAAGGCAGAAAGGTGTGCTGCTATATTTTCCTATTTGTGTATTTCTTATTGACAGCCACTCACAGACCTTCTAACTGCATGAACGGAACACTGTGTGAAGATGGCGAGGCCTGCTTACCTCTGTCGGACCTCTGTGACGGCTTCCTGGACTGTTCAGACAGCAGCGATGAGAATAACTGTACTGGTAGGCAAACGTTTAATTCTCTTGGCTAGTTGCAGGCTGTCATGTGGTGAAGACACAACATTGCTGACCTTGTGTTTCTTCTGTACAGATGACAGTGTAGTATACAAGGTACAGAACCTACAGTGGACTGCTGATTTCTCTGGAAATATAACCCTGACCTGGGCTCGACCAAAGAAGATGCCTCTGGCATCCTGTGTTTATTCTGTCTTTTACAGGTAATACAGACAAAGATTTAGTTTAAATGAGTTTGCAAAGTCTATAGATATATCAAAATTTGGCAGGTTCAGCAGGAACCGGGTAAATTTTGATCAGTCTATGGGTAGGATGGTTGTAGTGAACAGCCTGTTGGTTTTATTTCATGTGATCACTGTTGGCGGCTATAGCTGCCAGCAGTGATCATTGTGTTTTGACAGCTGGGAAACCTCTTGCTGTCAGAATATTATAACACAGTGGGAGGGATTCATTGAGAGTGATTTTCTTTCCTTTAACCTGTGGTTGAAGGAAAGTAAATAGTTTGACGATAGATTATGAAAAGTCAGACTAGCAAGGCTAGATAGTATTGGCCAAAGAATAGCTTTAGTGGTGATGGGGAGTATATAGAGTGGATTAAATGTACAGCACAGCATATAGAGTGGAGCAATGTGGAGTATATAGCGGATAGACTGTACAAAACTGTATGAAAAGAGAAGTGTGTTGGCCTTTGTGTAAAGTGAAGATGTTTGATGTCTGGAGATTGTAATAGGAGGAGTGAGGGGAAGTCCACAAAAAGTAAAAGAAGGCATCAGATAATTGTCCAGACTCCACCAATAACTGAAAATTCTGTTTCGACTGGACTGGTGTCTTAAGAGAGCTTTCTTTCTTAAACTAGGATGTCACCTGCTAAATTAGCCAGTTGATCAATTTTATCTGCTTTTTCAATTCTAACGTTTGCTGCCTGTGCAGGGTTATAGGGGAGAGCACATGGAAGATTGTAGATACACACAGCAACAAGACAGCCTTTGTGTTAAAGATCCTGAAGCCAGACACCACCTATCAGGTCAAAGTACAAGTGCAGTGCCTGCGCAAAATTCACAACAGCTATGACTTCATCACCCTGAGGACTCCTGAGGGGCGTAAGTACACAGTGAACCGCATTCACGCTAGCATGATATTATATAAGTAATCGCAGTCACGTCCACAATGGCACATTGATGTCAGAGTGGGATGGATAATAAAAAAAAAAAAAGCTGCCAGCAAGAGGGTAATCTCATGCTACTAATGGATCAAGTTCTTACCAAACCCACCTTTAGCGTAGGCTAAACTTTATCTAAGAATTTTCTTTTGCAGCAGAATAATTTTTTTTTTTTTTTTTTCCATTTTGTAATCCAGTCCCTGATGCACCTCAGCACCTCAACCTTGTGTTGAATAAAAATATTCCCTTCACCATCACTGGCTGCTGGTCCCCCCCCTGCAAACACTCATGGGCTCATCCGAGAGTATGTGGTAAGTGCTTATATGAACAGAACCTTCTTATAGAGTAATAAAGTGGGGTAGGAGGGCATGATTCTCTGTCTTCACTGACAACTGCAAAGCTGTAAGATGTTTGGAGAGCTCTGAGCAGAGGTGAGACGTTGCACCTGAATACTGTAAAATGGCTTTTCTTTATCCTACATTACAGGACACAGAGCAGGCTATAATAATGACTGTGGGTTATACATCACCTATAGGTGACACTGGCCGACCAATAAAACTGGAAGTCCTCCCCTGTAAAACCCCTCCTACACAGGGAGTGCTTCAGGTTTTTCACCAGAGTCTGTAAGGTGATGGTCACTGATGTGCTGCTTGTGTTCTTGGAGAATACTTGGAGGTCCGGAACGATTCTGCTGTCATTCAAGGACTGGAATCAGATCCAGTCAAAAGGCTGTTGTCTAAAATGGATGGTACGCGGGCCTTGTTGGATAAGAGAGAGGAATCCTCGGGGTTTGCCTGGAATGCAGCCTTCCTTGCGTAATGGAACCTTGTGCAGACAAAGGCAACTTTTCAGGTGAGAGTGCACTCTACCAGGAGTGTGGAGGCATCTTGGGCTGTCTGCCATCCGGTGTCAGTGGCTCAGGTTGCATGGTCTTCGGTATATACATTCACTAGGTTTTACCATGCAGATGTCAGAGCCACAGAAGATGCTGCCTTTTGCCACAGAATGTTAAGTATGAGTGGCAGAGTAGGTTCCTTTTTGATTGATGGCGGTTAATATTGTTTTTTCCACTTGCTTACCTTTAAAATCCTACCTGCTACAAAACCTAAGTACACAGTTATAGTTACATAGCCTGGCTGAAAAAAGACAAAAGTCCAAATAGTGCAACCATAAAAACAAATTTAAAGTTATAATCCTACACCCACAGTTGATCCAGAGGAAGGCAAAAAAACCCAGCAAAGTATGATACAATTTGCTCCTGCAGGGGGAAAAATTCCTTCCTGATCCTCCGAGAGGCAATCGGATATTCCCTGGATCAACTTTACCTATAAATGTTAGTATCCAGTTATATTCTGTGTATCCAGGAAAGAATCCAGGCCTTTTTTAAAGCAATCCACTGAGCTGGCCAGAACCAACTCTTGAGGGAGTCTATTCCACATTTTCACAGCTCTCACTGTGAAGAAACCTTTCCGTGTTTGGAGATTAAATCTCTTTTCCTCCAGATGTAAAGAGTGCCCCCTTGTCCTCTGTAATGACCTCAGGGTGAATAACTCTACACCGAGTTCACTATATGATGTATTATACATGTTGATGATATCCCACTTTAATCTCATCTTCTCGAGAAAATAAATTCCTTCAATCGTTCCTCATAGCTGAGCTCCTCCATGCCTCTTATCAGTTTGGTTGCCCTTCTCTGCACTTTCTTTAATTCCCCAATATTCTTTTTGTGAATTGGTGCCCAAACTGCATATTCCAGATGAGGTCTTACTAATTGTACCGGGGTAATATGATATCTCTCTCTCTGGAGTCTATACCTCTTTTAATACAAGAGGATTTTGGTTGCTTTAGAACCCGCAGCTTGGCATTGCATGCCATTATTAAGCTTGTGATCTACCAGATCCTTCACCATTGATTCCCCCAGTTGTACCCCCCCTAGTATTTATGATGCATGCATAGTCTTAGCCCCCAAGTGCAGATCCTTAAATTTATCAACATTAAACCTCATTTGCCACATAGTTGCCCAATTACACAGAGCATTGAGGTCGGCTTGTAAGTTGGAGACATCCTGTAAGGACGTTATTCCACGGCACAGCTTGGCGTCATCTGCAAAGACTGAAATGGGATTTATAATCCAGACCCTATATCGTTTATAAATATATTAAAAAGTAAGGGTCCCAACACTGAACCTTGGGGTACACCACTGACACCCCCAGACCATTCAGAGTATGAATCATTAACCACTACTCTCTGAATACGATCTTTTAGACCGTTTTCTATCCATTTACATACTGATATTTCCAAGCCTGTAGACTTTACCTTATACATTAGCCGTGTGTGGGGAACTGTGTCAAACGCTTTTGCAAAATCCAAGTATACCACGTCCACCGCTGCCCCTCTCCAAGTATACCACGTCCACCGCTGCCCCTCTCCAAGTATACCACGTCCACCGCTGCCCCTCTCCAAGTATACCACGTCCACCGCTGCCCCTCTCCAAGTATACCACGTCCACCCGCTGCCCCTCCACCTCTCCAAGTATACCACGTCCACCGCTGCCCCTCTCCAAGTATACCACGTCCACCGCCGCCCCTCTGTCCAAGTATACCACGTCCACCGCCGCCCCTCTGTCCAAGTATACCACGTCCACCGCCGCCCCTCTGTCCAAGTATACCACGTCCACCGCCGCCCCTCTGTCCATGTATACCACGTCCACCGCCGCCCCTCTGTCCAAGTATACCCGTCCACCGCCGCCCCCTCTGTCCAAGTATACCACGTCCACCGCCGCCCCTCTGTCCAAGTATACCACGTCCACCGCCGCCCCTCTGTCCAAGTATACCACGTCCACCGCTGCCCCTCTCCAAGTATACCACGTCCACCGCCGCCCCTCTGTCCAAGTATACCACGTCCACCGCCGCCCCTCTGTCCAAGTATACCACGTCCACCGCCGCCCCTCTGTCCAAGATTTTGCTCATCTCCTCATAAAAAGAAATCCGATTTGTTTGACAACTTCTGTCTTTCATGAATCCATGCTGTCTGTTGCTTTAAAATGGTTTTTTTTTTCCAGCAAGAACTCCTCTGTGGTCTTTTATTAAACTCTCCAGTATCTTCCCAACAAGTACTTCCTGTGTGGGAGCAGTTGTATAGGAGAGGACTTCCTGTTTGGTCACCTAGTGTTCATTCACTTTTAGGTAGCATATCACCCTCAGTCATGATTATAGCCTGCTCTGTGTCTCATAATGTAGTCTAAGAAATGAATTTTAAAGGTGCATTTGTTTTTTTTTTTGCATTCATTAAATGTTATGACAATGTGGTAATTATGTTCAAGTGATGTTTGCAATGTCTGCATTTTAAGAAATATTTGCATAACTAAGCCATAAGATACCTCCGCTGAGCCAATCTGCAGTCTGTGTAGTGTGATCTCCTCTACTACTTGGTTCTATTTTACAGTGCACCTGGAAAAAGTATCTTTGATTTGGCTAGACTCTTTAATATTCTCCTGATAAATACTGCAATATGTTATTTTCTTAGTTATGGAGGGACACCGAATTAGACTAAACAATTGGGTTTTACTGCCATCTACAAGAAAAACTGTTGGTTAGTCCTAGTGACAATAACCTCTACTACATCCACTGTGATCAGTTTTGAGACCTTGGCCTTCCTTCTTGTGTAAAGTGGCCTCTACTTTCCTCTTGTCCATTGAGGGACACGGAAATTCAGAAATGGGTTATACTACTGCCTAAAGGAGGTTGGAACACTGGCAAACAGATCGTTTTAAGCCAGTCCCATATAACCCCATTCTGCCCAGCATGTTTAGGTTTTTTGTTAGTGTCCTAAGAGGTTGGATACTTTTTTTTTTTCCTTCAAATCCATTGAACAAAAGTCTAAATTGTTTCATAGCCTTTTTTTTACTCATTTTCTTTTCTTCAGTGACTTCCCTCAAAATCCCTACAGTGCTGGTTGTCTTAACTATCCAGATCAGCATTTCCTCAGCAATAGTTTTTAAGGCCATATGTGGACCCACCTGGACTGGGCATGTGGGGCTAGCCTTCATGTGACCTTTGGACACTGGGCTGTGCATTGTGATGCTCTCCAGACCTTTCTGTATTTTTTTTTCATATCTAGTGCCATGGTTACAGCCCAAGGTGTGACTTTGCCTCTAAAGACTCACTTAGTATTGTTATAGAATCAACATCATTAGATTGCATCTCCATTAGGCGGGGCTAAGGCCTCCCCCATGTTAATAGGGGCCTCATGTCCTCTCTGTACTTTCTGTCTGTTCGTTTGACGCCTTCTGCTAAAAGACAATTGAAACTTCCTTAAGGAGAGTTTCAATTAACTGATTTTGTCCCTCTGTCCTGTTCCTGATCCTCTAACCCATATCTGTCAAAACAGTGCTTGAATGGGGGATCCCCTCAAAAAAGATCCCTCCACTGTGGGAGTAGGATCCCGTTTTAGAGAGTGGCTGAATGAAATGTCTGGAGCCTTGTTGTCTAGTTGTGTCAGCTTGTTTATAGGTCTCAACCAGTGTCTCATTGGCACTTTGGATGCATGTGTAGGAGGTGGATGAGGTACCGAGGAACATTTTGGTTTGCTTACCTTTTTTGTTCTCTATACTGACTTTTGGCATGGTTGGATGAAGTGTGCACCTGTGTCAATGCAGTAGATTTGCAAAAAGGTTGGAGGAATCTCATCTTTGTTGCTCCATTTAGTAGACCTGAGGTAAATACGCATAGACCCGTAGAGCCTAACTGCCACTCAGACTTACCAAAGGGTTTAGCAATCCTATAGCATTTTTTGGATGAAGGTGCGTTTCCACGTCCACGAGGGTGGGGGGCTGTGTTCAGTTGGATGGATCCTCTGGTAGTTTTGCCTCCCCTGGCATTTCAGTGCCCAGGACATCACTTTAGCCCCCCATCTTGTGTATGTTCTCTCCTTCAGCTGCCTTCCAGCTACTGCACTTGGCAGTCTGTCCTTCCGGTCACTCTGCGTTCCCCATATCTTGGGACCCCTGGTTCTTGTAGAGGCGGGGAACTTAGCCTCACTTCCAAAATGTCACTTTCCTTTTCAGGAGGATTTTATGTCCTCAGATGCTTCTTCTTTTACAATTATTGGTGTCCCACGGCATTCTGCCTCTAGGGGGTTTTCTTGACTTGCTAGGTCAGTTGACACCATTGTTTTTACAGGTCCCTTTCCTAACAAAGACCTAACTCTTTAGTGTCCTTTTGGATGCACCTGCTAATTCTCGTGACACTGGACCTTATTTCCATTTTAGTGCCCTTTCCTGATCCCCTCTTTGTGAATTGCTGTGGCTATCCCCCTAGAGGGGGTTCGTTTTCAGGACCCTTGCTCTCAAAACTCTGCAGAAGGCCCCAACACCCGTGGACCTCACAGGTGTCTAGTTTAACTGTTAATTTCTAGCAGGTGAGGCTGTTTAGCTGAAATCTTTGCGAAGGAAGTCTGTCCTGTGCATCAGTACATCCTTCCCGTTCTGACGGGGACATTCCCCCACCTTTCCCTTCAGGGGCTGTTAAGAGACCGAGGAACATTCCCTTGGCAACTCCCAATAGTCTTCAAGCTCCCTCTTGGTACCTGGAAGCCCGGATTTAGGGCAAGACATCTGGAAGTGTGGGTTATCACTTTTCCCTGGATATCTTGTGAAAGATTGGATGCCAGGCATCTTCATTCCTCTGCTAGTATCTTTCCTTCTTGTTTTCAGGGGTTGGGAGTGAAATGCTTGTGCCTTTTTGTTGGTAGTCTTTTTTTTTTTTTTTTTTGTAGACCTATTTTGTCCAGTTTCCTCAGGGGAACCTGTTCTGATTTTGACCCACTGTTTTTTTTCTGCGTCGATTGCGTTACCTTCTTGTATTCTTCTTACCAAGCAGAAGCCTTGATCCACCTGGTTTAGTGGTGTTTTCATTCCCAGCTCATGCTGATGTGGACTTTGGGTGGTAAATTCTCCTGTCCTGGTTTGTGAACAAGTTGAACCTCTGTAATCTTTCTTGGTCACAATCAGATTTCCCTCCCTGTCAGAGGGTACTTCATCTGGTTGAGATTCGGGTATTTGTCTTCCTGGTGGTTCTGGGTTACAGAATATTCCTGGTCCCTCCTGTTTTCTGTCATTTGTTGTTGCCCGCCCCTCTGTCCTATGTCCCTCAAAGGATGATGGAGAAAATAGGTTATTTGTACTCGACATAAAATCTATTTCTGCAAGTCTATGTAGGGGCATTGATCTCACCCCTTTTGGGTCTTTTACTGGCCCTTGTGCTTCTTACAAAACTAAGGCACGCTGGGTAGAGGAGGGGTTATACATGTGGCTGGCTTACAACTTTCTGCTTGTTTCTGTCCCAACCTCTTGTAGGCAGCAGCATAACCCAACTGAACTGTGATGTCCTTCAATGGACTCACAGAAATAGATTTTATGGTAGGTGAAAAACTTTTTTCTTTTTCCACCTCCAGTAAGGCTTTTGTCTTGCCTTTCTAAATTTTCCCAGGCTGTGTTCTGTGTCTTTTATTAAAAAAAAAAAAAAAAAAAATCAGAAGTTTTTTTATTTAACCACTTCAAGACCAGACACTTTCATCCCTTTCCAGTCCAGGCCAATTTTCAGCTTTCAGTGCTATCACGCTTTGAATGACAGTTTCGCTGTCATGCAACACTGTACCCATATGAACGTTTGAGCATTTTTTGAGACCAATTAAAACCTTATTTTGGTGGTATTTATTCACCACTGGGATTTAAATTTTTTTGCTATATAAATGAAAATGTTGAAAAAAGTTTCTTATAACATTTTGCAAATAATCTTTCTTCATAAATCTTGGCCAAAATGTATTAGTAAAAACCACAAAAAACCCAAATTAGTTTATAACCAAAAGTTATAATTTTTCAAAAATATTTTACTTTTTTTTATAATTTTTTTTTTTTTTTTACATACTGTCACTCTGATAAAGGGTGATAAAGATTTTTTTTTTTTTTTTTTTTTACACGGATTGCTTTTACACCCATAAAGGCTGTAAAAGCAATCAAGCAATCATTTCTCCTTTTCTCTGGCTGCATTCCTGCAGCGGTTGAGAAATGCTGTGTGAGCTGTGATTGGTCACATGGTACAAGGCTGTTGTGAATATCCTTGTATCATGTGACCTCTGTGATCATCAGATTTCACAAGAATTAAGCAATGTCAGGGAAGTTTACTACTATTCATGTGATCACTGATTGGCCAATCGGTGATCACATGAATTGGGACCTCACACAGAGGTCCCGTACAACGATCTGTGTTCGGAGGACACAGTGGGCGCCAATCACGGTGCCGCATGCTTCCAGGGAGTCGAATAGGCAATGGATGTGGGGGGGGACATTTAGGAACGTCCTGTCCAGCCATTTTTCAGCAATGGGTTGGACGGGAAGAGGCTAAGCTTTGACATTTACAAAACAAACATACAATCCAGTCTCACTTCAGTTAGTCGTCATTTTGTTTAAGTACAGGTTTTTGCAGGTTGCTACTTGAAAAATTGTACTCTGAATAGTCATTGTACAAATTAAGGTTGGCAGTTTAGTGTATAGGAAAATTCAGTTGTACCTCTGCTGAAATTATTATACCCGTATGTAACTTGTAAGTGAACTAAATACTTAATGACAACAACAAAAAAAGAAAGAGAAAAGAAAATTGACAGTGTCATTGACAGTGTGCTAACTAATCAGTCAGTGTTCCTGGGCCTCTTTCTCCATTGTCTGCTATATAAAATCGATGTATTGATCCACTGGAGCCATTGTCAGACCTGCAATGCTGGTAGCTGAAATTTGCTCATACCTATGAGGAAGATCATACATTTTATTTTTGACTTGTTTTCTTGCTACAGTATAACCGATTGTTCACATATCTTGGAGTGTGGTCAAGTGACAGCCTGTCCCTTTATTTAGGTAGAGTA